ATGAGGCCCTGAGTTCAAAACCCAGTACAGCCAAAAAAAAAAAAAGTGTGTGGGTGGGGGGGGTGTTAAAAATCTAAAAGGCTCATTTCTATAATCCCAGCTACTAGAGAGGCCAGCCCTGGGGAAAAATGTGAAACCCTACCCAAAAAATAACTAAAGCAAAAAAGGGCTGGGGGCATGGCTCAAGTGGTAGAGTACCTGCCTAGCAAGTATGAAATTAAGTTCAAACCCCAGTGCCACCAAAAAAAACAAAACAAAAAAAACCCCTAAAGTTATTGCACTTAATGTACTTAGAACAGAGTCTAACAAAGTAAGTGCTCAATAAATGCATGTTTTTAATGTATCATGATTATTATATCAACTTATCAATTTTTTAAATGTTCAGATAAATTAAATGTAAGTTCAATTTGTAGAAAATAATCATAGCAACATTTGAATTTAAGTTGTACGTACTGAAAACTAAATACTCAAACTTATCTTTTTCACAAAACAAGACCTAGTTATTTATAAGTGATGGTATTCAGGTGGACACTATCAAAGTGGTTGAATAGAAAAATACCTCTGTCATTAAGCGTTTTAGTCCTTCAACTTCATCTTCTCCTGGGTTAAGTTCACCACCAGGTCTGTATAAAGGTTAAGAATTTCAGCTTTCAACTTAATACAGTTTGAGGAAAACACGTAGAATACAATAATAGTTATTTCTATCAAGGAACTAAGCAAAACATATTTCAATGTCACATAAGGCAATCAAAGCAAATTCCAATAGCAGGGGAAAGAATATGCTGGAAAGAGGAATTGATAATGTTAACTCACAACACTAACAGTATACAGTCCTAGTTTTACACCGAAAAACAAAATATGTAACATAACATAAACAATAACATAATTACTGGCCAGCAATCCATCCCAATCTCCTCTCTGGAAGCTACCTGGTGATAATGGAATCTGAACATTCTTACAGAGCAATAGAACACATTCTTTAGGTCTAACAAATAGGACATTTTTCAAGAATGTCAATCTAAGTTTTTGAGACCTTTCTTTTTGGCATAATTTGATCAAATAGTGTGTATCAAAAATATATTTAAAGGGTTATGAACTCAAATAATTAAAATATTAAACTAGAATAGGAAACAGCATCCTAAGAAAGACAAAGTATCAATTATTCTTAATGCAACACAGACAGCTTGAAACTGGGCTTACATTGATCTATTTCATTAACATGAACAATATACAGAAACATGCAGAGTTCTAGTTATGAAAGTAAATGCACACTGCACTGGAAGAAAATTATATTTTTTCCACAAAGATAACATTACTAGCAGTATTTGTTGAAATGGCTAAGGGCTAAAATTGTATTCCAAAGTTGCATAAGACAATCATCCAACTAAACTTGTGTCTTGCTGTTAATTTTCAACAACACTTACAATTTGAAGAAAGTTGTTCCCAACTGTAGCAGTAAAACATGGGGTAGTCGATGCTCATGTACAATCAGAACCCCTTCTACAGTCCTCCTCATTCCAATTTTATCAAATTCCTCCCTCATGCGCTGAAATCTGGCTGCAACAGAGCTGTCCTTCTCATAGAGGGGCTCTTTTGTACCAAAAGTATAATTGGTAAGAGGATACCTGTGATCCAAAGACAAACATCTTAGCATGAGAACTGGTCAACATATTTATCACAACAGACACCAATCACACATAAAGAAACCATAGTCAAAAGTGTATCTATTGTGCTCAAAGATATTATTTGTCCAAAATTACACAACTAGCTCATCAGATGGCAGAGGTAAGAATCTTGTTCTCTGGATCTCTTCAAGTCAAAGCTCCAAGAGATCAAGTGACTACCCCATAAATGAACTTTGAAGCATTGATAACAGAGCCTAAGATCCTTAAGTGCTTACAGGAATGGTTATGTATAAATATTGGTAATCCTCTGATTTTTCAATCATGGTTGCTATACCAATAAAAACTAACCTGGCTCCTCTGACAACTAATCTAATCTGAAATTCTATTAAATTATCAGTGCTAATGGCTAATCTCTTTTTTTCCTATGTGCTAAGCCACCACTATCCATCAGTATCGCTCCAATTATTTATTTCTCTCAACCAACTATCCTCAAATTTTCCTAGCACAACCCTTTCTTTCTCAGATCAACTTTTTTGTGTTTTCTTTCCCCTATCAACCTACTAAGAAGCCTTTCTAGCCTTCTACATTTATTCTATTCAGTACCCTTATTCTTCCCTTCTCATTTGAATCTTCTATCCATATTTAAGTTGACTATCCTCTCTCCCATTATCAAGAAATCAAAATATGGCTTATAGTGCCAAAGACAAATTTCATCTTGCCTAATAAAGACCAAGTTTTTCCTAAAAGATAGTTTAAAATCCTATATTTATATTTCATCACACATAATTTATAAACCTTGATTATAAGCCTTTCAGTGAGAAAGTTTTAGCCACATACGGCTACTGTCAAAGTATCAAAAGTCCTTGACATTAACAGTCAACTATATAACTAACCCATTCAGTTGTTCCTGAAAAGATAAACCAAGGTTGCTAAAAAGAAAATCCCAATTTCAGAAACCAAATTCTAGGCATAAATGAAACAGCCCTAATATAATGGAAATATGTCATTCTCCAGACTCCTTGATTTTATAAAGAACTTCTCCAGTAGATCCAAAGCCATCACTGTTAGCAGGAAGTTATTTCACTCCTACGTCCTAAGTTCAAGAAAGAAGTAAGGACAGCCACAACACATTTTTATCTCCAAGAGCCAGTTCCCACATCAGATGAAATGTTAAAATTTTCAGCTGTGAAATCAGAGTGCCAGCCCAGCCCAGACAGATACTTTATTCTTATCCAGTGAGCATCATAAAGCAAGGTCTACCTCTTATTTCCTCACCACTGTATTCCTAGCTTTATGCACACACTACCTGGTGCATGCAATATCATCTAAATGAAAACATACTGAGAGTGAATGTTTTCAATTTAATAGATCATTACTCACCCAGGTGAAGTTCACCACACTGAATACTGTATTTATATAGGAGAGGAAAAGTACTGTAAATCAACCCATAACTTTGATGGAGCAAAGATTAAAACACTTTGCTGCAAGCACAACCACTTTGCTAATTCTGTATAATGATCTGGTGCAAACTGATCCAATAATCAAAGAAAAATTTAAACCTATGGATTGTAGTTCAGATCATTAAACCCAAAAATTGTGCCTTCACTTATTTATTCATTCATTCGTTTATTCATTCATTTATTTGAAGGGCTGGGGATGAATCCAGGGCCTTGCACACACTATACTAGGCAAGAACTCTTTCCTAGCCCTTTCACGCTTTTTTTTTTAATTTGCCTTTTATTGGGACTTTTATGAGGGTTTTTAACAATGTAATAGGAAATTAAAATGCTACTACATTGTTAACTTAATAGATACAAAGGTTAATAGACACTAATTCCAAATTTTACAAATTTCACATTATCTAAAGTTCCAAGGCAGTATCTGTTTTTCCAAAAACAATAAACATCTTTTCAATTTCAAGTCTTTTTGGGGGGGGGAGGGGATCATTTATTTGAGTATAAAACAGCGAAACACCTAAAGTGTTTTTAACACCACTATCAGCAAATTCTTATACTTTTAAAACACGTAAATGTCCTCCATCAGGGACAGCACCATGCTGTCTCAAAAATTCTCTCACAAACGTCCAAAGAAGCATATTGACAATTTGATCAGCTAGACACATCCCACACACCAATTACTTGAGAGTGACCTCGAAATGCAATGGCCTACTTCAAGAGAAAGGTGTGTTGAAAATAAAATACCGCCCACAAATGTGTTCTCTGGGGCAACATTCCGGCTCCTTCCACTGTCTAAAAGCCTACCACCAACAGCGTCCATACCTACTGGGTGCCTGAGATGCGGTCGCTAAGGGAGACAGAACAGGTGAATGCGCGGAGCAGATCCGAGCAGATGATTAAAATGAGTATTCGTTAGGTGTAATACTGTACAAACCTTAAAAAAAAAAAAAAGTAGGCCTGTGCATCACAGGTAGATCTCAAAAGCTTGCTGTATTAGAGAAAACTGCAAAAAATGATTACTACTTTGTACCATCCGTTACCAATAAAAACACACAAAGCAAACACCGTACACGTGCTGTGAAAGCATAAACACCGGACCGTTGGAGTAAAAAGCACATTTTTGAAGTTGGTTATCTCTGGAAAGGGGGGCAAAGGATGAATTCAAAGCAAACTTGGGTTTTACCCATAATGACTGAATACAGGAGAAAGGGAACAAAAAAGTAAACTTCTTAAGTGGGGAATCTCCGCCCTTGGACGGAAGATCGGAGGAAGAGGCCTCTCTGAGCGAGAGAAGCGTCGGCGCCGTGGGGAGGCGGGGAGCCCGCCGACGCGTCAGGAACGCGCGGGAATGAGCTGCCTGTAGGAGCTCTCTCCCTCCAGCTGAAGGATGCCCGCGAATGCCGCCCGGCACTTACAGGTTGATGGTGCGCTCCAGGGTGAGGGGCTTGGTCTGCTGGATGTACTTGTTGCCGAACTGGTTGACCCCACGGGGCCAGCCCGTCTGCGAGCGATTGGGCGGTACCACAGACATGCTGGCGAGTTTCAGCACGGGAGGAGAACAGAAAGCAACGGAAAGGGGGAGACTTGCCCCGTGCGGGCAGCGGTTATCTGCGTCCCGCTCAGTAGCCGCCACCCGCCATTAACAAGAACGAGCAAGAGGAGGTGTACGCACGCCGGAAGTGAATCCCGACCCTCTGGCGGCAGGAAGTAGGGAGGCAAGGCATTCCAGATCGAACTCCTTTGGGCCAATCGCAGGTGGGATAGACTTAGTATCTGCAGCTCCCATTGGTGAATCAGATATACGTTCCGCCTTCTCATACTTTAGTACCTCCCATTGGGTGGCGCTGGGGAAAGTGGGTAACCGGACGTTCTGAGAATTGTAGTTTCAGAAGAGAAGTGGCCCATTTGGTCAGTGGCGTCGCTGTAAACCTTGTAAGATGAATGGGAAGCGGCCAGCGGAGCCCGGCCAGGTCTGGGTAAGGAAGAAGGTAAAGAAGGAGGTGATGGCAGCGTTTTCGAACGCTGTCACGGAAGAAGCCTTGAAAAAGCAGGTGGCTGAGGCCTGGAGCGGCAGGACGCCATTCAGTCACGGTAATCGGGTGCTGTTGGACCTGCGACCGCGCGGTGGGTCTGGAAGCCTCTGCAAAGCCTCCAGGACTCGATCTGAGCCCTGGGCAGCAATGCAGAGGATTTGGGAGGACTTTGGCGACCTCCGACCCTCCTGCCTTGGCTAGTACTCTCATTTGAAATCGTTTGTTTAACAAAAAGAAATGCAGGCCGGAGAGTGTCCGGAAGTAGGGGACACAACAAATTGATGGTTGAAATCTGGAATCCAAAGTCACTGAGTTAGAATCTTCCCCACTGATTTTGCATTGTTGAGCAGTGGATTGAACTTTTTTAAGCCTCCGTGGTATAATTATTATTATTTACCTGAGGAAGATGTTAAATGGATTAACAAACGCATGTATGCAGGCATCAATAATTATTTACCTGGGTAAGAACCAATAAACATTTGGACAGATATTTGAGTTTTTTATGTGATTTTTCGGTCAAAGGTAATTAATGGTCGATGGTCCCATGATAGTTTAACGAGAGCAGTTGTTGTGAACTGCCAGAGACTGCAGGGCCTTGACCCAGGAACGTTTATTGAAGGATTCCAGACTTATGAAGTCTGCATCAATGTGTCATGCATTTTCTTCCAAAGTTTGCCATGTTTTTTGGTTTTAGTTACTAAGTGCTTTTGCAGGGGCGAATCCTGAGTGCTCTGGATGCTCAGACTTCTCTGTTCCCTTCCCTGTAGTGTGGACATAGTGATGATATCTACGCCAGAGTCATTGAGAAGGCTACGTGAGATAATGCATTGCATGTAAAAACCTTTGTGGTAGGCATTGGTAGCCTTACTGTTACAGAAATCTATTCTGTCAGAGGCAGTAGGTACAATGGTGTGGTAGAATTAGAAGAGGTTATGATGGAACTGATTTTAAAAAATAGCCTGTAGTAACATTCTTCCCATAGTAACTTGGGGAAAGAAAAGGCAGGATTAAAGAGAAATTGCCAGATTGTACTGCTACTCTCATTTAACAGTTATTCTTCTTTTAGGTATGGAGGACATGAATTAAGAATCTAGGTTGAGGGCACAGCACAAGTGGTAGAGTGGTTGCCTAGCAAGCATGAGTCCTTGAATTCAAACCTAGACACCACCCCCCCCAAAAAAATCATAAAGAATATAAAATATGTTCAATTCAATTATTATTACATTGAAAAAATCAGGAATTAAGTGATGTGACCTATACTCATTTTAAAGACTAGCATTTTAAGCACAGTATCTTTAAAAGGTGGTGTTGAATGAGTTTAAAAGAAAAAAGGAAGAGCTTATAATTATTCCTCTAAATCTGAGACTTTAGGTATTAGGTTCTCAGATTCCTGATCATCCTCTTTTATATTATGTCTGCTGTGTTAACTTGGTGGTCAAAAATACAAAAGGGAAGGCTGGGTCATAGCTTAGTGGGTAGAGCACCTGCCTAGCAAGTGTAAGACCCTGAGTTCAAACCCCAGTATAGCCCCCCAAAAAAGGGAGGAGAGGCAGGTGTGATGGTGCATACCTGTAATCCCAGCACTTAGAAGATAGAGGCAGGAGGGTCTCTAGTTCCAGGGCCACCTAGATTACATAGTGAGTTCCAGGCCACCTGGGCTGTGAGACTCTGTCTCAAATAAAAATTGCAAAAGGGAAGAAAGCCATAATGTTTTCCTTCCAACAGAATCTATTGTCATGGACATGGACCCTTTTCTTCACTGTGTGATCCCAAACTTCATCCAAAGTCAAGACTTCCTGGAAGGGCTTCAAAAGGAACTTTTGACCCTGGACTTCCATGAAAAGTATAACGATTTATATAAGTTCCAACAGGTATTTATCCCAACACTTAGCTCTTCTAACTCCAGAAATTCATTAGCTGTAAAATCAGTCAATGTATTTAAGACTGAAATTTAGATTGGATTTACCTTGGAAAGTCCTCACCTTGACATTGTTAAGGCATTCCTTCATTTAAAGTAAGCTTACTGATTGATAACCATGTGTTACATGCTATAATTATTATAAGGGAATTTTAACAATACTTGGCCTGTGAGACTTTACAGTCCAAAATAATAGATGTAATAACAATCATGACAGAGATAACAAGAAATGCATTAAGGCCAGGCATTGGAGGGTCATGCCTGTAATCTAGCTATTTGGGAGGCTGAGTTCGGGAGGATCGTGGTTCTAGGCCAGACCAGGCAAAAAGTTCTTGAGACCTCCCCCACCTCCAAAACAACCAGAGCAAAAAGGGCTAGAGGTATGGTTCAAGCAGTAGAGCGCCTGCCTTGCAAGCTGGAAGCCCTGAATTCAAACCCCAGTACCATCAGAAAAAAAAAAAATGGTATTAAGCCAGTAAGTAAATGCTTTATAAACAAAGACATGAAGTACATTTGGAGAAGTGGTAAATTGGAAGATAATAACCATTTAAAGTTTGAGTTCATGTCTTTTAGGTAGCTTGATGTAGTGCAGTATATTCTGCATTGCAGTATATCTAGCAGAGAGTTAAATCCATTCTTTCCTCCCCCTTGCAGAGGTGGGGATCAAATCCAGAGCTTCAAGAACACTAGGCAAGCCCTCTACTCTTGAGCTACATTCACAACCGTCCATTTTTTTCTTTTGGCAGAAAAGATTACCTTGAAACTGAGACTGGTTTTTTTTCTCCACTCTTAAAAGACACATCCCTGTCTAGTATATACACATAAATCATTGGTTTTCTAAGTTTGGAGGGTATCTATCAATACATGAAGTACATCACTCTTGGAAATCCTGTAGAAAACCTTAAGAACATGAGGACTTAAAATAGAAATATGAGAAAAAATGAAACATTATTTTGTTTCTTTTAAATTTTCCCTTTGATTTTATCTGAGGTGAGAGACTAAACAATTAATTCTTTCTCTTTTACTCTTTTACAATAGAACTGATCGTATCCTGCCCTACCCCAATCTGTCCCTAGACCTTTTATAATTCATATAATCAAATTACCAGGCTAGGTATATGAGTGATGAGACTCTTAATTCAGAAAATCTAATGTAAATTAAACTTTTAGCCAAAGTAAGGTTGCACAGGCTAGTGAAAGAAATCACAGTTTGTATAATGGTGTCCACCTTGATAACACTAGGCCTCTTCTGTTGATTTAGGTTGTATGCAGCTCTGATTATTAAAATGAAACATTAGAGTGATTTTTACTTGATGCAGTTTGACAGATGTAAGTATTTCATTGGCTATAAAGTCAGAAGAAAAACAATAAAAAGTGCTTGGGGCAGTAAAAAAATAAATAAAAAGCAGTAGCCATTACTTTGGAGCCACATGGGCTCTGTGGTGAATAATTTTTACCTTGCTCACTTTTGGAAAGGATCTTCAGCCTAAGACAAGATATAAAACCTGTTATCATTCTCCCTGCCTCTTCAAACCTGTGCTGTATCCCCTTTCTTTGCTTATAGCATGAAATAAATAATTGGATCTCTAATATGTTCCAACCCCCCAACTACATATATGCATATCTACACTCTTTTTTGGCGGTACTGGAATTTGAACTCAAGGCTTTTTGCACTCTACCACTTGCACATGCCTCCAGTCCTTTTTGCTTTGGTTGTTTTGGAGATAGAGTCTTGTTTTTTGGCCAGGCCAGCCTAGACCAAAATCCTCCTATTAATGCTTTCTGCAGTAGCTGAGAGATGGCAGGCATGTGCCACCATCCTCAGCTTTTGCTGTTGAAATAGGATCTTACAAACTTTTTGCCTGGGCTGGCTTGGAACCAGTATACTCCCAATTTAAGCCTCCCACCTAGCTGAGATGATAGGCACACACTATCGAGCCCAGCCGTCGATTGAGATGGGGTCTTGTGAACTTTTTGGCTTCCCTGGCCTGGAACTGCAATCCTCCTGATCTCTGCCTCCCAAGAGCTAGTATTACAGGCTTGAGCCACCAGTGCCAGCTATGTATATTTTTTTAAAGCAAGCATTATTGAGGTTGGGTCTTTTGTTTCATTTTGGTTTGGTTTGGTTTAGTACTGGGGTTTGAACTCGGGGCCTCATGCTTGCTAGGCAGACGCTCTATCACTTGAGCCACTCCATTGGCCCTTAAAGTAAGCATTACTGAGTGCATATTTTATGCCATTCTAAGTGCTTTATATTTACTCATTAAATCCTCTTAACAGTCCCACAAAGGAAGTATGCTACTGTTTCTGTTTTACCAATGAGAAAACTACATCAATTTTTCCTTCTTTTTTGTTTCATTCCCTTCAACGTACCAAAAAAACAAAAAAAGATAAAAACTGTTCTTTTCACTATGAGGAAAAAAGCTCCTGACCTAACTTCCCCCTTCAGCTTCCTATTCCTTTGCTTCCCTTGACAGCAAAATTTCTCTTAAGAGTTGTCTGTACTGTTTCAAATTCCTCTCCTTCTGTTTTCTGACAAGCCTACTTTGATCAGCTTTCACCTCTACCACTCTACTGAACCTACACTTATCAAGGGTCAAGGTCAGTTATGGCCTCTACATTAGTATAGCCAGCCATTAGTTTAGTCCTTATTTGACCTTTCAGAAGTATTTGGAAGCTGGGCATGGTGGCCCACACCTGTAATCCAGCACTAAAGAGGCTAAGGCTAGAGGATCACAAGTTCAAAGCCAGCCTGGGCTACATAGTGAGTTCAAGGCCAGCCTATGCTAAGATAGCAAGACCCTGTCTCCAAAAAAAAAAAGAAGAAGAAGAAAAAGCATTTGATCTACTATATCAACCCTCCTTCCTAGACATTTTTTCACTTTACTTTCAGGATACCATGCTTTCTTAGTTTTCTTTCTGTCTCACAGGCCATTCCTTCTGAGTTTCCTTTGCTAAGTCATCCCAGGTAACTGACTTCTTAATGATAGAGTACTCCAGGGCTTAGTCCTTATACTAAGATGTATATAAATTTTCATGAACTCTTATGGCTTTGTTTTCCTCTTGGATCTAATAACAATCTCACATTTAACTGCAAAACTAAACTCCTGATCTGGTTCCCCCTAAATCTGTTTTTACCTACAGGTTTCCCCATCACAGTTAGTGCTGTCTTTATCTCAAACCAAAATGAGATCAAGATCTCTCACCCCTCATTTCTAGTCCATTAGGGAAATTTTTCTGCCTACCTCCAAAATACAGCCAGAAAAAAACTCTTCCAACCACTTCCATTGTTAACAGCCAACACTTGATCCATGCTGTTTTTGTCTCTAACCAGTATTATTATATTAGTGTATTAACCAGTGTCCTATCCTCATCAACTTGTACAACAACATTGTGTTCTTTTTAAAATATGAATGGACCCAAGAGAATTGGAAAACAGATGTTCACATAAAAATTTGTCCATGTGTATTCATAGCACCGTTGTTTATAATAACCCCAAAATTGAAACAACTCAAATGTTCATCACCTGATGAATATGTCCATTGTAATGGTTATGCCCACGTAATGGGGTTATTCACCTGTGAAAAGGAATCCACTGCTACAACGTGAATGAACCTTGCAAACCTTTGCAAACTGAAAGAAACTATACACAAAAGGCTACATATTGTATAGTTCCACTTAAATGTAATGTGCAGAATAGTCAAATACATCTGTTGAGACAGAAAGGAATTTAGTGCTTGCCAGAAACTAGGGGTAGAAAAGAAAGGGCAGTGACTGCCTAATGAGTATAGGATTTCATTCTGAAATGTTAAAAAATTCTGGACTTAAGATAGTGGTGATGGTTATACCACAGTGTGAACACGTATACCAAAACTCATTCAATTATGCACCTTTAGATGGTTAAAGTAGCAACTTTAAATGAATTTTATCTTTAAAAAAATGAAATAGAATCATGGTACCTTATTGCTTAAAAGCTCCATGGGCTCCTCATTCTCTTTGAGTAAAAGCCAAAGTACAGACAGTGGCTCCAAAGCCCGTTACCTCTTTGACCTTATCTCCTTCTGCTCTCCCCCGTGCTCTGCTCCAACCGTGGAGTCTCCTTACACTGTATTGAATAGGTTTTATTACTCCTCGATGAGGTCTACCCTGGCCCCCCTATTTATAATTGCAAACCCCCACACTCAACACTTCCCCACTCCTCTTTTCATGCAGTTTTTTTCCTATGATTTTTGTCTCTTTATTCTAATAATCAACTTTTTATGTTTATTGTTTATCTCCCTTAACAAACATGAACTTTGCTATAATAGCTACCTATCTATTGAGTGAATAAGGTACAGAGACTAACTCACTGGACAAAGTCAGAGCTGCCAGATGGAGCAGGGCCATGTGTCAAACCTAGGCAGTTGGCTTTGAAGTCCAAAGTTTTAACCCCAGTGCTGTACTTTCAGAGTCCTCACTAAACTACACTTTATGTTTAATACGCTGTTACAAGAAAATCCTTTTTTTCTTTTTCTTTTTTCATAATCAAGTCTGATGATTTGAAGAAAAGAAGAGAGCCTCATATCTCAGCTTTAAGGTAAACAAGTAATCATATTTGTTGGTTAGACAGAATATTAAGTACATTAAATGTTATGTCATATAGTCTTTGTTGGCATTATCCCATTTTGTGCAAGAGGAAACAATCTGAGAAATTAAGTAACTTCTTCAAGGCCACTCAGCTAAAATTGGGAAGCTAGGCTATAACTCAAGTTTGTCTGATACCAAGGCCCAAATTCTTAATGATAAAATGTTCAACTTTGTTAGTAATCAAGGAACACATTAGTATGGGAAGTACTTTTGCATACTTTTACAGCCTTTTAGAAGATGGTTTGGAAAGACATATCAAAAGCCTTAAAAGTATGCATATTTTTTTGTACAGTAGTTCTACTTAGGAAAATTTATTCTGACAAAATAGTTAAGGATGTGTTCAGAGAGACCATACAAGATTGTTGTAATGGTGTTCATAATAATGAAAAATTGTATTCAAATTTAAATTACCATCCATGGAGATTCATAAAGATAATGGTGCAAAACATAAAGTGGAAACTATACAGCCATTAAATATGTGTATGAATTTTAACACAAAAAGATGGTAGTAGCTGAGCGTGGCGGCACACTTCTGTAATTCCAGCACTTGAAAGGCTAAGGCAGGAAGATCATAAGTTTGAGGCCAGCCTGGGATACATGGCAAGACCCTGTCTCAAAAAAAAAAAAGAAAAGAAAGAAAAATGATAGTTATAATCTATTTTGTCAATTCAGAAAATTTTTTTTTCCCTAGCAATTCTGATTCTGTGTGATGTTCTCATACAGTCATTTTTTTATCCTATTTTCATTAGCTTCAGGTTTTTTTGTAGAATAAATAAAATACTTCTTACAACCAAAGCATCTTAGACTCACTGAAATATACTTTTGTCAAGAGAAACAAAGTTAAAACAGTACACAGTGTGGTTTACAAAGGTACATATACTTGGATATCTGTGTATACAAAATAAGATTTAGAAGGAGTAGTGTGTTTGACTAGCAGCATTATAGGTTTTTCTTTTCTTTTTAGTTTCTTTTTGCTTCTATAGGATTTTTTTTTTTCCTCTAAATGAGCACATATTGCTTTGTAATAGCTGCTTTTCATCTATCTGGTAGGGGTTACTTTTTCTTACTCTTTTTTTCCTTTTGAGACACATTCATATATGGTGGCAGCCTGTATTTGTTGTTATTTTTCTAAATCCTGAAGTGTTGGTTATGTGTTAACTATAACGCATGCTATTTCTTATTTATTTAGGCTTTTTACCCTGCAAAGAGAAACAATCTTGAGATTTAAGTCATTATCTCATAAGTTCACAACACCCCTCAGCTAATCATTTCCTTTGGGACTGAGTTACATTTCATACCCAAAGGGTCATAGCCATATTGTGTGAGAGCCAGAAGTCTTTGATCATTACAAAAAGCTGATCTTTCTGTTTCCCATTTGGGCTCTGGGAGTCTCATGAACACAATAAATGCTAATGGTGGCAGAATATAAGCCTGTACCTGTGACTTGTTCAGAGAATGAGTAGAACATTTTATGGAGTAAATTTGTGAAAGTTGATGTTTCCAGTAAAAGAAAGGTTTAAGCCTCTGAAAATATCAGTTGCTGAAAGTATCAAGACTTTGTAGAAATGTTTATCACCAACATTGTCTGAAGTCTGTTTTAGCAGGTTGTTATATTGGCCCATCTGTCTCATTTGCAACTCTGCCTTTAAAAGTTATTTGATATATTGTAAGAACTTGTGTAAATGCCACAATGTACCCCCATGCAGCACAACAATGAAAAAAATAAAATTTTTAAAAGCATTACAGTATACTTCTGGTTGGACTAAACTCAAATTTTATGGAATATTAAGAATTGAGTAGTATATAATATAAAAGAGTAATTGGTAATGGAATCCTACAGATTACTTGGAGACTAATTTTTTTTTCCCCAGAACTAGGCATTGAACCTGGGGCCTCATGCATGCAGGGCTAATACCCTACCACTGAGCTACACCCTTAGCCCTTTTCTAGCCATTTTGTTTTTGAGGCAAGATCTTGCTAACTTTGCCTGGGCTGACCTCAAACTCAAAATCCTCCTGCCTTCATGTCCTAAGAAGCTGGTGTTACAGGCATGCACCACCACGCCTGGCTCTGAGACTTAATATTTAATTATGAACAGCATGATTGCCTTTTACTGGGGGAGGGAGTGGGTGCTGGTTATCACAGAAGCTAACCATATCGTTAGATGGTTTCAGCTCTCAGCCACAACTACCCCCCACACACACACAACCTCGTGAGGACAGAAGGGGATGGCAGTTGGTTGGGTTAATCACCCCTGGTCAATGATTTGAATATCATTTCTATGTAATGAAGCTTCCATAAAAATCTCTTAACTGAAGTGGTTTCAGTTTGCTGAAAACATGGAGAAACTGGGAAGGTGGTATGCCTGGGGAGGACATGGAGGACTTTACCCTATGAATCTCTTCTATCTGGCTATTCCTGAGTTGTATCCTTTTGTATAATACACTGGTAATATAGTAAATACACTGTCTGGCAGGTGGTCAGATGTGAGACGGGTGCTGTAGGAACCTCTAATTTATTGCCAGTCGGTCAGAAGCATGGCTCATAGTCTGGCTTTTGATTGGTATCTGAAGTAGGGCGCAGTTCTGAAGGACTGAGTCCTTAACTTGTGCTAACCCTTGTAGTTAATGTCAGAATTGAATTGTAGGACACCTGACTAGTTTCAGAGAAAAGGTCAGTGTGGGGAAAACTCCAAACATGAAGTGTTGGAAGTAAAGTGTGTTTTTAAGAAGAAAAGTTTTCCATTTTACTACTGAAAACCATGTCTGAAATTGGAATTGGAGTTGAATAACAGTGTAGTAAATTACCAAAATAAAGGCCAGAGTGCTGCCGTACTTACAGGCAGGACATACTTCAAATTTAGGAGGAAGAAAGTACTGAGAGGATGCAGTGAGACTGTAGAACAAAAATATGCTACAGTAGCTAAGGATTTACACTTATGTTCTCTGGGACCGTTATTCTTGACTATGCAAGTTTACACTGAGGAACATCTCTCAGCATCTCTCAAGTAAAATCTGAAAATGGGTGTCGAGTAAAATGTGACCTTCAGGAAACAATAGTTGTGGCCTACGTAGATCCACATAGAGCTCACACTATAGCATAACAAGTTATCTTTTTTTCGTACTTCTAGGAAACTTCTGTTTGAAGATTTCCGGGCCTGGCTTTCAGATATCTCTAACATTACCCTGGAACCAACCATTGACATGTCCTGTGCTAAATATGAATTCACTGGTAAGGAAGATAAAGTCCTAATGTCTGTAAGATTTAAAGGCCACAATGATGAAAGGATACCATCAGTATATCAAAATTCTAGCCTGCATCTCTCTAGCATTAGTATCTTTCTAATAGGGACCACACTCATATACAGAAATAGGTACGTATTGGAAAGGAAAAGGCAGTGATTTTCTTTGGGAATATGATGAAAGCCATATTTTTAAAAAAATGCTTATGTTGCCCATACACAGCAGCTTTACATACAATATCACAAAATTCTAAGGTGATGTTGTAATTTCTATTCTCAGACTTCCTAAGAAGCAGTTGTCTCCCTCAGTGCTCTTTTTTGGTGGGGTAGGGGGAGGCAGAACTGGAATTTGAACTCAGGGCCTTGCACTTGTAAGGCAAGTACTCTACCACTTGCAGTGCCCCTAGCCCTTTCCTTCCCTGTTTTACTTCGTAAGTAATAAGTGAATACATGCTTAAGGGGAAACGTTTAAACAATGTAGAAGTATACCATGTAAATCAGAAGAGTCTCTGTCACTTCTTCCCTCTTTTCTTCAGAGATACATCATTACCAGTTTGGGACACATCCTTCCAGTTCCCTTTCAGAGCACATACATACTTTTGTTTGGTTTTTCACCTAGAAGATTTTTAAATTGTTTTTTAATTTGGACAGTTTTGTTGGGGTTGGGGGTGGGCACTGGGGTTTGAACTCAAGGCTTCAAGCTTGTAAAACAGGTGCTTTTATCTCGAGCCAATTCAGTCCATTTTGCTCTGGTTATTTTGGAGATGGAGTCTCATGAACTATTTACCCAGGTAACCTCAAACCACAATCTTCCTGATCTCAGCCTCCCAAGTAGCTAGTATTATAAGAGTGAGCTGCCCCCCAAAGTAACAATTTTAATTTAGTATGGGGTGCCTGTGGCTAATGCCTGTAATCCTAGCTTTTTGGGAGGCTGACATCAGGAGGTTCAAGGTTGGGCAAATAGTTTCTGAACGACCCCATCTCCAAAATAACCAAAGCAAAGTGGACTAGAGGTGTGGCTCAAGCAGTAGAGTGGCTGCTTTGCAAATACAAAGCCCTAAGTTCAAAACCTAGTCCCACCCAAAAAAAACAAGAATAACTTAGTAATACATATGAAGAGTTATGTGATATGCCTTTATTTAATTTTAATTTTTTTATTTGAAGTAATTGCAAACTTAGAGAAAAGTGGCAAGCACAGAACAAATAATTTGTTTCCTGTTTTACATGAAAATAAGTTGCAGTCGTGTTCCACAACCCCTGAATACTTCATTAACTCCAATAACAAATACCTTATTTTATATTATAGTAATAAGCCATCAAAATCAGGACATTAATATCCATATGTTATTCCCATCTAAACCATAGGCCCCATTCACATTTTGTTATTTGTCCTTGAGAGCTTGTTTAAAGCTTCTACCAGGGGAGCACAGCTGCTCACATACCCTTGACTGAAAAACAGTCTTCCTTTATTGGAGAAGGTTGTCCTCTTCAACCAAGTGCACAGATGTGGGGGGCACATATGAAGTAGTGAGAGAAAAAGGGGACACCCACTTAGCCAACTCTGGCAGTCAATTGGATGACAGATTGCCCTCACATCCTGTTATTTGATCCTTTGCAGCAAAAGGATCCAGTCCAGGGTTGCACATTGCATTTACTTGTCCTATCTCTTCGGTCTCCTTCAGTCTAGAACAGTTTCTTAGTCTTTCCAGGACTTACAGGATCCTGATGCTTCTGAAAATTTAGAATTATTTTGTATCACTTTCATCCATTTCAGCTTGATGTTTCCTCATGACTCAAGCCATACAGTTTTGGCAGGAATATTGTAGAATTAACCTTGTGTTCATTTTACTGCATCCTGCCAGATGGCACACAGTTTCTTGATTACTTGATTAAGGTGGTGGCTGACAACAAGTTTTTCCAATATTTTATTTCCCTCCATCAGTATGTATTTTGTGGGAAAATACTTTAAGATTATAGAATTATTCCACTTCTCAACAAACTTTGATTCACTTGGTTTAGCATTCTCTAATGTTTCTTACTAAATTATTGTAGTGGAAGTGGGCAGATGATGATTTTATAATACAGTAATTTCTTCAACATTTATTAGTTGTCATTTATTGCAAAGTGTATTCATTCACTTGTTTATATTGGTATGGATTACTATTTGTATAGTGGGCTATTATCAATCACTGTTGTGATTTGAGCTTTATATTGTCCTTGATTTGGTCAAGGAGAGCACCTTCAAACTGATTTCTGTGACCTTTTACTATGTCCCTATCATTCTTTTACTTTTTCCTTTGCAAAACAGTATTCTTCAGGTTTATCTTCTATTTTCTATGCCAGATCCTAGAATGATCTTGAGTTGGCCATTCTTCCAATGAACCCTGGTTTGGGTTGGAGGTATGGCTCAAGTAGTGGGGTGCCTGCCTAGTAAGAGCAAAGCCCTGAGTTCAAAACCCAGTACTGAAGAAAAAATAAATAAAAAGGAAAATTCATCCCATTGAACCCTGGTTCCTTTTAGTGAAAAATAACCCTTAAAAATCAATCAAGATCTGGGAGGCGTGGCTCAAGTGATAGAGGCCCTGGGTTCAAACCCCAGTACTACCAAAAAAAAAAAAAAACCCTCAAGATCTGGAGCCAGGCATTGGTGGTACATGCCTGTAATCCCAGCAGTTGAGAGATAGGAAAGAAGATCACAAGTTCAAAGTCAGCCTGGGCTGTATAGTGAAACCCTGTCTCAATAATTAAAGGAGAGGGGCTAAAACTAATAAAAATATCAAGATCTGAACTCTAGACAACTTTGCCATTAGGGTGTCACTGCTTCTAGGCCTTTTCAGTGAAATAGTAATACATATATGCCTATATATACACACTCTGATGTGTATGTATATATTATATATGTATTTCTGTATCCCTCTGTGTGTATAGATATAAGAAAAGGAATTCACATTGATTCCTCCAGCTCCAGTTAAACAGGGGGTTCATTCTAGATTTCTCCTTTGCCATATTTGTAATTTACTTCAACAGTAAGAAACCTGGCCCTTATTATCTTCAGTATATTTATTTATTGGAACAATTCTTCTGTGTAAATACTCTCAGTTCACTATATTATTCTTTCTCTGTCGCACCCTGCATGAACACCTGCGTTGTTCAACCTCACCAAAGACATTAGAAATTTTAGAAATTTAGCTTAAGCAGTTAATGGGAACAAGTACAAAAAAAAAATCCATGTGTAATAATAATCATTAGAGCATTCTTTATAATAGCCAAAAATTCAAATAACTTAATAACAAATAGAAAATCAATTTAAGAAGGAGAAAGGTAAATTTAAAATCCGTTAAATCCAAAAAAGGAAGGTCAGTAGCCTAGCATGGTGGTGCATGCCTGGATAGGAGAATTGCATATTCAAGGCCTACCTGAGCTACATAGCAAGTTCCAGGCCAGCCTGGGCTATGTAGTGAAGCCCCATCTCAAAGAAAACAAAACTGGCTGTGTGTCTCAAGCAGTAGACCACCTGCTTTGCAAGCATGAAGCCCTGCATTCAAATCCCCAGTCCTACCAAAAAAGTGATGTCAAGTGTCTATTACTAATATGAAAAGACATTTGCCTTGTAATAAGAAAAAGGTAGACTTTGAACAACCATTGTAGTATATCATTTTTTTTAAGTGAATACACGTAGAAAAAATTCTGGAAGACTGTTAAAAAATATCATTAATAACTATATTGTAGATTTATCTGTACGTACCTTCAATTTAGAGCTTTCTATATTGACTGAGTTTTATTTTTATACTTTATACAAAAGAGACGAAATAAGTATCATTTTAAAGCTGGAGGGCATTGAGATCTGGAGCTGACGTTACAGATGACTGTCAGGTGGACTGATAGTAAATGCAGTCAGGTGGCAGCTGCTCATTGTCTGTGAGGGAATTTAAGGTGTACATGAAACTATTGCAGATGCCCTACTCTGCCATGACGATGAGCTGGAAGGGCGCCGGATTGCCTTTATTCTGTACCTGGTTCCTTCTTGGGACAGGAGCTTGGGGGGCACCTTGGACCTGTACAGTATTGATGGTAAGACAAGTGCATGCTCATTATCCCCAGTGGCTACTTCTGAATTAAAACCAAATTTGCCTCTGCATCACCACTCTTACATACAATGTGTGAACTCCTCAAAGGAGATGGAAACCATCATAGTGACCACCTGAGGAGGAATTAATGCCAGCCCTGACAACCACCTCTTGAAGTTGTACTTAAAATAATCATTACCCTAAAGATGAAGTAGAATCAACTTAAGAAGAGAAATAGTGGTACCCTGCTTCCAAATACTGACTTTGGAAGGGCAGAAAGCATGCAAAACTGCCTATGGCTGTGAGTTTGTCAGAAAATCAGTGATTCTTTGAGTGATTGACACCAGAGATGACTCCAGAAAGCTCAGAATTTATTCCACATCATCTAGCAGAAAGCAGTTTGGATGAAACAGGTGGAAGGGGTTGGATCTGAAGGGTACATCTAGATATCCTCCAAAACCTGAGATCTGTCGAAAGTGAAATGAGGTGGCCTGGAAGTGGTTAATGATAATGAGCTGCATTATGAATGTGTTCTCTCCTGGTGCAGAGCACGTGCAGCCGAAGCAGATTGTCAAGTCTGTTATCCCTTCGTGGAACAAACTGGTTTTCTTTGAAGTGTCTCCAGTATCCTTTCACCAGGTAAAGATTGCAAGCAACAAATAATGTAGGGTGCTAAGAATCATGCTTTCTAGTTACTCATTGTTTGAATCTCACAGCTTCTTGTTGGGACTTGTTCCCTGACCAGGTTGTTTTCATAACTAGCATGAAGGATCCTCCAGTGTGCCTTGCCTGGTATGCTCCCCTCCTTGTCCTTTATGTTGATATATTGCTGGTCTTGTCCTTCCAGGTGTCTGAAGTCCTTTCTGAAGAAAAGTCACGTTTGTCTATAAGTGGCTGGTTTCATGGTCCTTCATTAACTAGGCCTCCCACTTACTTCGAACCCCTCATACCTCGGAACCCTCACATCCCACAAGATGTAAGAATAAATTATTGAGATTCTTATCTTAGGAACTCTAGCATAACATTCATTTTTCTGATTTTAAAATTAATTCTTTCCAAAAATTAAACTAGAATTTGAGCTTGCTGCATCAATTTTTCTTAGGTAAACTTTTGTTAGTGTCTTTCTCTGTCAAGAGTTTTCTAATACTTTAGGTTTAAGGAGAAACTTACCAGGTGAGGATTTTCATGAGTCTTACTAATGTGAAATGATGTAAAAACGAAAGCTACAGGAACTATTAACTCATCTTTTCCATCTACTGCTTCTTTATAAGCATGAAATTTTGTATGAGTGGATCAACCCTACTTATTTGGACATGGATTACCAAGTTCAAATTCAAGAAGAATTTGAAGAAAGGTCTGAAATTCTCCTGAAGGAGTTTCTTAAGGTGGGTCAGCATATCTTGCTCTGTGTGTCTTGTTTGGCATGCAATCTTACTTGAATAGGTGAATATACATCACTAAGAGTTTTTGTTTTCTTCCTCATTTGAACATCTATATCATTCTCTTCAAATGAAATACAAATGATAATAGTAAACATTGCTATCAGTATGCTTAGTGGTTTAACAGTCCCTTGGGTTTTCCACAGCACTCTAGAGTCTTAATGGTGAACAAAAATACACACACACACACACACACACACACACACACACATATACACACATACACACATATACACACACATACACATATATACACACATATACACACACATACACAGATATACACACACACACACACACACACACAGAAACTTCTGTCCTGAAAGGGAGTTGTTACCTAGTTACCTTCCTATTCATTTGAAGAATAGAGTGCTTATTATTTTTAATAATAGGTTATCAATTGTAGTTGAACAATATCTATGAACGAGTGACAGTGATGATGCAGCTTCTTTAGTGGAAAGAGATCTAAAGTCAGAAGACCTATATTCATGGCCTAACTCTGGTTTTACTAACCTAATCAAATTACTAAATTTCTCTGGGTATTTATTTTATCATCAGTTACACTGATAATACCTGTCTTGCCTTTCTTACAGAGTTGTTGTGAGCTCTATGTGAGATAGATAGTTGGCCATGGGTTCCATGGAATTATAGTCCCAAGAACTGTTCCTTCATAAAAAGGTAGAAGGATTCTACATACAGTCTGTCTTGGAATTTTATAGCTGCTATTGCATATTACAGAATTTGAAAAGCCTATAGTAAGTTGACTTGTTTAATCTTATTTAGTTGAGCCTACTCAAACCACATGATGGGGTCTTTCCTCTTTCATATCTTTACAGTTGATAGGAGCTGGTAAGTTGCATTAAACAAAAATATAAAACCTCTTGTAGATAATATTCCACTAAAAAGCTAGCTTCTTGTATCATACTTGACCTCTCAAATTTAGCAAATTTATTAAATGAGAGAAGAAGCTGGAGCCAAGAGAATCTGCATTATTTTACAGAGATTTTCATTATAATGACATTGACTAGTGCAGTTTAATTTTTTTTCCTCATAAGAGTCAATATGATGATCCTTATTTCATAAATCTAGGAATTTGAGAGGCTTAGCAATTTGACAGAGGATACACAACCACTTAACGGAAGGCCCGCATGGCCCTTCTCTTTTAGCTAAAGCAAGATGACAGTTTACTTAGTCTTTTCCCTGGCTTCACTACAGTAGTAGTGAATCTTGTGTGAGAGAAGTGAGAGTCAAATGAACCTCTTAGGATCAGTAATATTGATATTCTGCAGAGCTCCTTACTGCATAGACCAGTGTAGAATCATAGGAACAACTGCTAACTTTGCTTCTTTATTGGCTTATTTTCTAGCCTGAGAAATTTGCAAAGGTCTGTGAGGCCTTGGAGAAAGGAGATGTGGAGTGGAGTAGCCGTGGCCCCCCTAACAAAAGGTAAACCCATCATCTAAGACTTGCATCCACATTCAGCACCTACCTTTTTAAAAGTCTGCATAACTCACCTCTGATAATGTTGCCCTAACAGCATTTCGTTCCAGGGGCTATCCAGTAGCAGGCCCTAACAAAGCCTAACCATTGTAATAACTTGTGCTTTCATAAACAGAGCGGTACAAAGCTAATGAGTGCCCTTTATTTAAACTCCTATGATACCGGAGAATGAACTCAAGGTCTCTTGCCCGCTAAGCAGGTGCTTTACCACTTGAGCTACACCACTAGTCCTAATGAGCAGCTTTTATTCCATAAGTAATTTTGTATGTGGGACTTGACAAATGCCATTGCTGCTTTTCAGATTTTATGACAAGGCTGACGAGAATAAGCTCCCTGGTATACTGAAGGACTGCATGGAGTTGTTTCGCTCCGAGGCGCTGTTCTTGCTGCTCTCCAACTTCACAGGCCTGAAACTTCACTTCTTGGCCCCTTCAGAAGAAGATGAGATTGAGGATAAGAAAGAGGGAGAAGCAGCCTGTGCTGCTGATAGCACTGAAGAAGGGACCAGCCATACCTCTTCAGAACTTGAGAATAACCAGGTATCTGTTGTTAGCAACAGCCAGCAGAGCAGTGGACAAACACATCCAGCCCCAGAGGAAGACAAAGCAGAGAAGGGTAAGCTAGTGTTAGGAGTTGCCCTTATTTACCATTAACCATTCCCCATTCAGTCATTTATTCATTCAACAAATATATCTTGAGCATCTACTGTTGGGCTAAGCCCCATTTCAGGCCAAATACGGAGGTGCACACCTGTTATCCCAGCACTCAGGAGACTGAGACAGAAGGAATTGTCTTAAAATAAAAAGCTTTAGTAATCAGATCTATCTAATTATCAATCGCTTACAGTCTGGCATTTATATCAAAGTTATTTTTATTTTTCCTGGTCCTCCTTCTCTTGTATTTCCTTAGAGTCAAGTGTCCCCATGTGTCAGGGGGAACTGAGGCGTTGGAAGACTGGCCATTACACTTTGATTCATGACAACAGCAAAACTGAATTTGCCTTGGATTCAGTTCTCTACTGTGGCTGTGAAGGTAAGAGGGAAGAAAGAAAACAGTGACTTATCTCCTTAGAGGGGCAGTCTTTCCAGAGTTACCCTCTCCAGCTGAACCAATTCAAAAGTCATTTGCTATGGCCAAGATCTCAGATCACAGAGTAAAAGGAATGTTGGGGGTCATGAATTAGTCTCCCAACTCAAAGTAGGATTTATGTCTGTGACTGGGAATTGAAGAGAAAACCAAACCATAATTTTTCCTCAAAATTCTCTCCCAACCCTAGAATCCAGTTTTTATGTAATTGCCCTTCTGGCTGTATTTAACATTTAATTCTCTAAATTTTCTTATTCAACATTGACTAAAGTAAGCCTACATTCCAGTTCAGCTGTCTGAGAAATGAGGCATTTAGGGGAAAGGAAATCCATGATAGCAAATGATGGACTTAAGCTCAAAAGAGAGCTGGTGACTACGGAGTCCAGAGCTCTAGCTTTTCAGCAGGTGATGTTTGTTTGTTTCCCATTGTCAGGCTGGGAGCCAGAATATGGTGGCTTTACATCCTACATTGCCAAAGGTGAAGATGAAGAGGTGAGTTACTTCTGATAATGCTTTCAGTTCTTTAGAAAGTTTTCATTCAGTGATGCAATTTTTATGGCCTCAGCTAGTGTCTTTAGCTGATAAACCCATGTTGGCCTGTCTGGCAGTGGTTCTGATTTCTCCAAGAAAATAGCCAACATGGAGTCAAGATGCTAGAGGATAGTCACTAATCATTTATTCTGCCTTACTAAGAAACAGCAAATTCACAGTGTCATGGTACATTCCCACAGATCTTTTAGTGTAGTTAGAAATAAAGCATTAGGTAAAACTTTTATGGATATGTGTTTCAGGAATAGAGCTTGTTGGAAAATGTCTTCACAACCAGAGATGAGCTTTTTCTCATATCCTGGTAAAGATCTTTCAAAGGATCCCCTAACCCCAGCTTAAGCACTCGCTGTGGAAACCATCTGTTCTGTGAATCATTGGGAAGATGAGAATGAGCTCTGTGTTCTGATGTGTCATTGTATTTGCCTATTGCAGCTGCTAATAGTGAATCCAGAAAACAATTCTTTGGCATTGGTGTACAGAGATAGAGAGACTCTGAAATTTGTCAAGCATATTAATCACCGAAGCCTAGAACAAAAGAAAACCTTCCCAAACAGAACGGGTTTCTGGGACTTTGCATTTGTCTATTATGAATAATAGGACTGGACAAAGGTAACAAAAAAAGTGATGCTTCCTCAGTGCTGGTAAGTATGGAAGAGCTGTGCATGGAGAGGAGGAAAGCTGCACGGAGGCCTGTCTGTTGCTGCTTTCAAAACTGGTTGTCCTTGCCAGTTGTAGGGGGGATGTGTGTCTAATCCCAACATTTGGGAGGCTGAGACAGGAGGATCTCAAGTTGTTGGCCAGCCTGGACCTTCAAAAACAACAACAAAAAATACAGTTGTCCTTTAATAAACTCATAATGATTGTCTTCAAAGTAGACCTTGGGATGGGAGCTATGTATCTTTTAATTTAAAAAAAAAAAGGTTTTAATTGTTTTCATTAAGCTCTTCCACCTTCTATACTGTTTCAGTTTTTTTTTTTTTCCTAACTTCAGTGATTTTTGTGTGTTTGTGTGGTAAAAAGTATATAACAAAATTTAGCAGCTTAACTTTTGCTGTGTAGCCCAGGCTGGAGCTTGAACTCACAATCCTCCTGCCTCAGCCTCCCAAGCTCTGGTCTTACAGGCCTACACCACCAGTCTTGGCCAGCTTCACCATTTTTAAATGGACAGTTAAGTGGTATTGAGTCACATTCACATTGTTGTACAACCATCACCACACTCATATCCAAAAGTTTTCCATCTTCCCAAACTGAAACTCTGTACCCTTAAACGGTAACTTCCCACTCTCCCTGCCCCATCTTTTACTACTCTTTCTTTCTCTATCATATTGATTAATATGCCTCAGAAATTTAATTGTACAGTATTTGTCCTTTTGTGGTTGGCTTATTTCACTTAGCATAGTGCCTCAACATTCATCAGGTTTTTTTTTTTTTCAGTGATTTTTCGTTTTTACTTATTGATTGCAGATTCTGTTCTTCCCAATCACACTGACCTAGAAAGTTACAAAATCTTAATCCTGTTCATGCTGGACCTTACAGTTCTGATACAATTTGAGTCATTATACTCTCTCCTATTGCCTGTGGGCTCCCTCCTGCTGCCACTGTGACTCTTGCAGGAAGGGATAGACTCACATCATGGGCAGTATTGTTTCCAGGAGAAGGTCTGGCTGAAAACCACGATTCCAAGAAACTTTTAGTTGCTAAGAAAGCAGGCTGCTTATTGCCATGTGTAGTTGTTTCCAGGTGCCTGCTGCCCTCCTATCATGGAATTGTATGGCTTCTAATTATGTAAATCTAGCCTCACATGTGGCTTTCATTTTCCTAAATGCTATAGAACTAGTTGCCTTTTTCCTTTAAAAAGATCCAGTGCTAAAAAAGTGACGTTAAAATGCCAAGAGTCTCATCTGTTTTCCATTTTTTTCCCCTGAACTGCTCCAGAGGGATGTGTCATGGCTGCTACTACTGTGGGGGTAGTACAGGGGTGGATGAAAGATGCTGTGCCCTTTACATGGATATGTGTTTGTAAGTTTTACATGTGTAGGGATATTGGTCATAAAACAATTATGTTACAAAACACTGGGTTTTGATAAGACTATTCAGGCCTAGTTCCAGTCCTGTGTTGCTACACTCACATGTTAACGGGCCATTTTACAGTCATACAGTTTTGGAGACGATTAACCATAGTGTAGTGACACTCAATTAGAATTTTGTTGATGTTAATTTTAAAGCTGTCTTTCCTAAATTTCTGCAGACCAAAGGTCATCTCTGCCACATTACTACTTTTATTCTTTTGTGTGTGTATTGCTGGGGATGACACCTCTAGCCCCATTTGCTTTTTTTTTTTTTTTTTTTTTGTGGTACTGGGGCTTGAACTCGAGCTGGCCACTCCACCAGCCCTTTTTTTGTTGTGTGTGTGTGTGTGTGTGTGTGTGTGTGTGTGTAGAGAGGGGAAACACACACAAATGTTAATAATTGCTGAATCTAGGTAAAGGATGTTTTAGGGTCTCAAGAACTATTTGCCCTGCTGGCTTCAAACCCTCCTGATCTCTGCCTCCTGAGTAGCTAAGATTACAGGCATGAGCCACCAGTGCCGGACTTTCTGATGTGTTTTTATGAGTGGAAAGAGAGACAAGTTATAGTTACTAGACAATGAAGCCATCTTGTGTGCCATGTGCCAAACTTGGAAAGACTTCTCTCTATACCATCTAAGACCATCCAACTTTTCCAATTTTGGAGAGCTGGATCTAAATCTTACACTATCACTCACATGTGAAAATGTCCTTATTAGTTTCTCCTTTATGTCAGTGTCTTTATGATCTGCCAACACAGCAAGAAAGACGAGAATGCACTTGGGTGCTGGAGGGCCGAGAATCCCTAAAGGCACAACCTCTGATGCTGCTGTCATTTGCATCATCTGCAGCAGTGCTTCTTGGACTGTGATGGCTGGTATGATTCAGTTGCTTCTCTGCTCTGATGGTATGCAGTGATTGAGAACCTGCTTTTCCTCAGTAGTTATGCACTGTATATTGATATTTCAATCAAGGACACATCACATATAAAACAGTGAGCTGAAAGATTCCTGTAGCCATCCATAGTGAAGCTTTGCTTATACCTGTTTGTGGTGATGCTGGTGTCAACAGACCACCTGTGCTGCAAGGTGTATGATATAGCACATACAAGTATGTACAGTACATAACATTAAACAAGTAAATGTCATGAATTTGTGTGTTTATTTTTTCATTATTTTTAGAGCATGTCTATTTAAAAAGTTACCTGTGAAACAGCTGCAGACAGGTCCTCAAGAAGGCATTCTGGGCTGGTGGGTGGCCCAAGCAGTAGAGTGCCTGCCTAGCAAGTGTGAGGCCCTGAGTTCAAACCCCAGTGCCACCAAAAAAAAAAAAAGCATCATTATCATGAATGTCAGTTCCATGCCTATTACTGTCCCTGAGAAATTTCCAGTGGGACAGTGTGCAGATGGAAGACAGTGACATTGCTCATCATAGCCTTGTGTTGGCCTAGGCTACTGTGTGTTTGAGTCTTTGTTTTTAGAAAAGTTTAAAGTTCAAATAATGAAAAAAAAAATGTTTTTGAGACAGGGTCTCACTGTGTAGTCCAGACTGGCCTTAAACTCTCAATCCTCCTGCCTCAGCCTCCTGTGAGCTGGGATTACAACTGTACACCACCATGCCAAGAAAAAATTTTTTAATTTTAAAAATTAAAAAATTTGTAAAGATACAAAGTATCTTATACATCTACACAATGGTTATGTTTTAAGCTATAAGTCAATTAAAATTTGTAATATTGAAGATTAAAAAATATTCTTAACCTGCTATACAGATGTGGTAGCCTAATAGCAGTAGGCTATACCATATAGTCTACGTGTGTAACAGGCTCTGCCTGTTGGTGTTAATCAGCATCTTGGCCCACAGCTGCTCCACCTTTCCTTTAGGTCTTCTTTCAGCTTTTCTGATGAAGGATCTCAGATTTTCTCCCCAACTGTACACCCTGACTACTGCCTAACAGCAGCATCTGCTGAAGAGAGTGGCCTTGAAGGCTACATCACCACCTCCTGCAATTAAGGTCCAGTCCCCTTTAGATGTTAACTGTCATGGAAATTGGGGGCATTTTCATAAAGCTGTTTAAGGAGCACATTCACATTTCTTTCAATATAAAAACGTTTCAGGATAACCCTATAAATACTTTCTAACTTTAAGAATGTGGAAAATGAAGACTCAAAGAGAAAAAGGCTACTGAGTTTTGAGCCTGGTGTGTCTACTGCTCAGTTGCCTCTCAAACTGCACTGCATGTGATTGTTTCTTCCCCCATTGAATACCCCTCCTCCCAAAAAAAAACCAAAGCTGGGGCTACCTCTCCTCAGCCAGTATTTCTTCAATAAGCTTTTGGCCACAGAACCTCTTCAACACTATTATATACTTACCATTCCTAAAACTGAGTGAAAAAAATACAAACCCCGTTTAAAAGGTCCTTCCTAAGACAGATCTTGTGAAGTGTCCAGCCTTCATGGAACAAGAGAGCCCTACAAAAGCAAATGGTTATCCCTCTCATATGCAAAATCAGTCCTCAAAGAAATGGAAGAACTACTGGGAATTACCCAGTGGCATCATTTTTAGGAAGAGCAGAATTGTGTATCATACAAATAAAAAGATGAATATACAGGGCAGGGACCAGATGGAAACAGCAAAATGCAAAACACCAGACAGCAATGGATGTCTGGTACTTTAATTTCAAGGTGAAATTGGAGATAAATTCTGTGATCACAGGACTCTGCAATGGCAGATCTGTGACTGCTAATTGTAAAATTTGAAAGGTTAATAACAGTGTTGGAAATCAGTTTTGTAACACTTCTAGGGTTGCACAATAGTTGTAAAACTCCTAGTTCTCCATTTTCTCCAGGTCCTGATAGGTTACTGAGGACAGCTAAGCCAGTGGAAAGCAACAGCTGCATTACTGTGCTGTGTGTTGGCTCCGCACTATGTGAGGATGGAGCTGATTAAGGCGCAGACCCTGTTCTAATTGGGGATTAAGGGTGTAATAAGGGTTAAGGAAGAGACATGGGAGAGAATATGTGAGCTGAGCTTTGACATACTGGATAGGCAGGCAAGTTGGGAAATAATAAAAGTCATACTCTCTGTAAAATATTGTGTGCCTGAACTGGGGGTGGGGGGGCAGTGATTTTTGTACAGAGGATGCTTACAAAATAACTAAAAAGTTTTCTTCCAGATACCAGAATTCTCAGAATCAATTTTTAGATGAAGGTTGAGCACTCACTCAAAGCTTTGATAAAATGCAGCAATGAATATGAGCTTAGCTATAGTTCCTAGAAGGCACTCAGATGCTATCAAGGATAGAAAAATAGGGGAACAAAATAGAGCAGTAACTGACTAACTCATTTATAAGAGTGACTATTTCCCAAGCTGAGCATGGCATCTTCTGAGAGGAGGGGAAAAAGGTAGCTGAGTAATGTATAACTCTGGATGTTTTCATCCCATCCAGTCTTTGCTTGGGAACAGCTAGGAGTAATAGGAAGGGCCATTACAACTTGATTTCAAAACCTTCATACCATGACACAGCTCTCGGATCCTGTACAGGACATTCTGCCTTCCTAAGCTAAGTGGTTTCATCTGTGAAAGAGACACTACGCTCACAATCTTATTAAAGCGCAAGTAACTATTTGAAACCAATTGAAACTATGAAAATATGTCTTGCCACTAAGATTTTTAGATCTAAAAAAGTTTTTTGGCTGAAGAACAACAGATTGACCTTTGATGTGATTATTATATTAGGTTCACTAAAGATGAATGGCACCACATAATTTAAAGCCAGCACCAATGAAAGATTTTACTCTCAAAAGGTCTAAAATAGGACTGGAGGTTCAGCTCAATGGTAAGTGCTTGCCTAGCATGCAGAAGCCTCTGGGTTCAATCCCCAGGACCACAAAAAAGTATGTGAAACTACAAGGAAGACAGCAGAGGGACTTGAGTTTAGCTACAAATTCTGTGAACCTGGCAAGTAATTAATCTCTGCTCCTCAGTTTCCTCATCTGTGAGGCAGACGTAATAATACTTTACAATTTAAGGGATTAAAAATAATACATGGGCCGAGCACCATAGGAATCCTTGCTATTTGGAAGATGGAGATCAGGAGAATGGCAGTTAGAGACCAGCCTGGTGCAAAAAATTCATGAAACCCCATCTCAACCAGTAAGCAGGGCACAGCAGCATTAGCCTGTTATCCTAGCTGCATGGGCAGCCATAGTAGGAGAGCCAATCCTACTAAATTGTATTTTTTTCTCTACAAAATACAAATGGTTTATGAAATGCTGATATTGTGGTGAATTTATAATCAGTCAACAACAAAGACTAATATCTTTTAATTTTAATGAAAAAGTAAATTCATTTGAAAATTACAAATTCAATTACAATTTCCACAAAAGAAGATATATTCATATATATTCTTCACATAAACATAAATGTTAGGCTCTAACGTTTCAAAAGTGTTCATGCACCCTCCTCATAGGACTCTAGTGTTTTTCAGCAATGGTACTATGGATTCAAATAGAAAAGGGGATCCATTTCTTAGCTGTGATGCTTTGTCTTTCATTTCTACAACTCACCAAGGTGGTTTTCATTCCTAACATCCTGGGTTCACCAGGATGTGATCCAAAGCAGACCAGCCTAGACTTTTAGAGAAAAACTTTTCCTGGAACTTCCTTCCCATTTACTCCTCTCCTACGAAGCAGCTGTCCCCACCCGCATGATTCTGAACAGTGTGTTGATGTTGTTGCTTCGAATTGCATCCCGACAAGCAGTGATCACTTGGTTCTTTGGCTTTCCGACTGTATTAAAGGAAACATCAAGACAGTGTACCCCAAAAGATTATTTAAAATAAAGTTAGAAATTAAAGGACAGTTTTAAAACATCATAAAACTAAGATAAAAAAGAGTTATATATGCAAATTTTACTGTTATCTTACCACTGCCTAGAAGAGATAACTTGGTGAGGGAATTTATCACAAACACACACTGAGACCATCTCAAACTAGAAACCAAAAGTAGGTTTTATAGAAAAGAATCAAGGCTCATATCCATCTACCAAAGATTATTTCCAAAGAGGTCAAAGCACTAACCCAACCAGAATTCAGATATAAATCTCTGCCTCTTCGGCTTTCTGCAGTTTATTCTAGTATTCTTTTTCTAAACTTCTAAGCTGGACAGTTTCACACATTAATTTTTCATTCTCTTTTTTTTTTCTAATGGAGTTTTTCAGGCTACACACTTTTTCTTTGTGATGTAAACACTAGATTTTTCTTCAAAGAATGCAAGCTCTTAGAAAAGGAGCCAAAGGTTTTCTTTCCCTTGAAAAAAAAAGTCTGGACACTAATTAAAGCTAAACATGAGGCTGGCTGACCAAAACTCAAAGTGATAGGACTTGTATGCTGCTTTAGGCCTCAATGTGAATTAGGGAATGCTAATACCACCATCTTCAAAAATCCTCATTCAAAAAATTACAGAAAAATAACAATGCTATGAAAAACTTACCACGCAGGCGCCCTGCTTTTTGAATTGCTTGATTTACTGCTTTAAGGTTTCCTAACAGTTCTGTGTGATTATTACAGCGAATTTTATATCCATTCAGCAAGTCTTTATTGAGGTCATAAAGTTCCATATAGCGATTCTTCATTGTTTTCCTGTGTAAATGAATAGAAAAGTAACATTAACACTTATAAACATCTTAGGCTTTTTTTAAAAAAAAAAAAAGACATTATAGCTGTATTTTCATTAAAATGAGGTAACTGCTAAAGTTTTCTTTAAAAGCATTGAGAAGCTTCCATCAAAATATCTCATTTCCTCCAAATAAATAAAAAACAAGGTGGTCTTTCTTAGTGATTGGTCCATGGTTTGTTTGGATTTAGAAATTTAAGAATGATAAAGTCCCTTGTGCTGGCTATTGTTCCAGCACAAGTCCCAAGGTGACTGCCTATTCAAATTTCAGATTAAAATTCATTAGATAAGAGAACTATTTTAAATAAAACATGACTACACAAGAGATTCAGCTTCATATTTTATCAAGGATTTTTTAATTCAAACTACAATAAAGTGATTTCTACACAATAATAAAAATGATTGGAATTAACAAACTGGAAATATTCAGTGCTAACAAGATGCAGAACAACTGGAATTCTAATGCATTGCTGTTGGGAATAGAAAGTAGTACATAACACTAGAAACTTATTTACAGTTTCTTATGACGTTAAAAACACACTTACTACATAACCCACAAGTCCCATCCCAAGAGAAGTGAAATACATGTTTGCAAAAAAGCTACATGCAAAATATATAGCAAGTTTTATGCACAGTCACCAAAATTTGGAAATAACCCAAATGTCCACCAATTGGTGATTGGATAAATTAGTACTTATCCATACGGAACAAAAACATGAGATCTTATCCCCAAAATAAATAAGGCAAAAAGGGCAAGGGTCCGTGACTTGAGTGGTGGAGCCCTGCCTAGCAATTGTGAAGTCCTGAGTTCAAATCCTAGCACTGCCAAAAGAAGATAAATTTTACATATTAGCAAGAAGCTAAACCTGCACATATTTTTTTTAACTCTTTTATTATAAATGTTCAGAAAAATTAATAGAACAAATGCTTGTTAATGAGGTCAAGATACAGGATATTGTCAGGATCCAGAAGATTGTTAATGTGGTTTTATTTTGTTTTGTTTTTGTGGTACTGGGGCTTGAACTCAGGGCCTACACCTTGAGCCACTCCACCAGCCCTATTTTTGTGAAGGTTTTTTCAAGATTGGATCTCGAAGAACTATTTGCCCGGGCTGGCTTCAAACCACGATCCTCCTGATCTCTGCCTCCTGAGTAGCTCGGATTACAGGGGTGAGCCACTGGCACCCAGCTAATGTGTTCTTTTTTGAACAGTCTCTCCTCCCCTAGGAGAAAGCACTATCTTAAACAATAGTCTCTTTCCTGCATTTCTTTATATTTTTGTGATCTATGTAGTTTTCTCTTTTTTCAAACTAAATAAATGGAAGCATTTTGGACATGTTCTTTGAGTCTTCTTTCAGTCTGCAATATGTTTGTAAGATTTCTCTACATTCTGTGTGTCGTGGAGATTTGTGCACACTCTGATTGCTCCATTGTACAAATAGGCCATAATTTATGATACTGTTGATGCTAGCTTGGATTATTTCCACTTTGGGATCTGCTATGGTTTTGTTAAATGTGTCCCCCATAAATGTTTATTTGTTGGAAGCTTGGTCCCTACTGTGGTGATGTTAAGTTGTGGGACCTTTAAGAGGTGGGGCTTACTACAAGGTCATGAGATCACTCGTTAGGGTGCTGCCCATGGAGGGGATTAAGGTAGTTCTCATGGGACCCTAGTTAGTTTTCTCAAAAGAATTGTTATAAAGAAAAAAAAAAAAAAAAAAAGGCAAGAGGGTTAGGGCATGCATCACACGATAAGAGCACCTGCCTAGCAAATGCAAGGCCTGGAGGTCAAACCCCAGTACCACAAAAAAAAAAAAAAAAAACAGACCAGTCTCTCTGCCTTTCCTTGTCACTGTTTGATCTCTTATTCCTTCTCACACTCCTGCCATGATAGCATCTGTGATAGGTAACAGCCAGAGAGGTCCTCACCAGAACCAGTGCCATGCTCTTTTGGACTTTCAGTCTCCAAACCATGAGCTAAATAAACTTCTTTTCTTTATACATTACCCAGCCTCAGGTATTTCACTGTAGCAATGGAAAATAGACTAATACAGGCTTCTTATAAACAAAGCATAAATGAATATTCTTATACAAATATCCTGGTTTATATGTGCACAATTTTCTCTAGGCTATATACCAGTACCAGGAGCAGAAATGCTGAGTTACAGGGTTTACACATTTTCAATATTTACCAATAATGCCAAGTTACTTTCCAAAGTCACTGAATCAACTTGACTCCTACTAGTAGCATCTGAGAATTGCTATTTCATACTGCTCACATTTAACCTTGCACCTGTGCTAGCTATGGTAAGTACTCACATGTCCCTCATCAGACGAGCATCCTCAGCACGGACCAGCAAACTTCGGATCAGATTAGAATTATCAGCCATGTCAGCACTGAGCTTTTGATGCACTGAATGATATTCATCCACCTGGAGACCACAAATACTCAGGAATTAAAAAGGCTTCACAAATTTCTTAAAAACTAAACAGATGAGACCTACCTACCATAGACAGGGACTCTTTTCTTTCCCCTATTTATACATATTACTTTAACTACCCCTTATTATTTCTCTCCTCTTCAACAAAACAATCAGTCTCTGCTGTCTCTCCCATGGTGACACTCCAGGTGGGTCCCTCCCAGCACCAAGAGCCCTATCAACATACAGATTAACATTTTAGGGATTTGCATTGGCAATGGTGTGATACATTGGGGTCAAACACAATTCTCATTGTGCTTTTTATTTGGAATTTGAGTTTTTTGCAAAGCAATGAACTGAAAACTGAAGTAGACAACAAATAAGATGAAGGGCTAACAAAGGAAAGCATTGTGTGAGATATATTTTTTAAAGTATCCTCCTAAACCTAACAAAGAAAGTAGGTGGTCCTAGACTGGCAGAGTGGCTCAAGTGATAGTATGCCTGCCTAGCAAGCATGAGGTCATGAGTTCAAACATCAATACCACAAAACAAAAAGTAGGTGATCAAGAAGTAACCACCCACTTATAGAAATCTTTTAAGCAGTAAACTCTCCAATCCTAGTTCAATCTTTTACAAAAACTCTTTTAGAACATGAATATCACCTCACAAAAGTACATTTGCAGTCTGTACATTTGCAGTCTCATCCATTTCCTAAGTAAGATAAACATTTCAAACTATGAGACTACCATATCCTCACAAATACATCCACAGGTGCCCTCACCTTGACCAGCACCTTTCGTAACTCCTCAAAGTAGACAGGAAAATCTGCTTCTACCTGCAGGTCTTCAATAGCGAAAAATGAGGCCATCGACTGGATGATGTCACCAGCCAAATCAATATCATCAGTATTCACAGTAATCTATCCAGAAAAAACAGGCAAATTTAGTGTTCTAAATATGAGACAAACTTAGCTGAAACAGGCCCTGAATCTCTCTGTATTCAACACAATTACTGAACATATATTTATATGCAATGATGAGTGAGAAATTATAAACCACGTTGTTTCTTGCAGGCTTAAAGGTCAATCCTCTAGCCTATAACTAAATGACAAAATTATTCAATGAAAATATTTTTTGTGTACCTCTATAATTCCAACCCTTCCCAAATTATACAAGGAAGGAGTGAAAGGAAGGAGGGAAGAAGGTAGAAAATCACGGTTCTAGATTATACCCCAATGCATAGTGATAACGCTAATGGACTAAGTTGAAACGCTTGGCTTTAGGGTCTTAACACTGACTTTGTACTTGAATGCTTAAGTTTATGCCCCATGACATTGTACATTACCTCTCCACTAGGTTTTATTTGTATGTAGAGCTGGCCACCATTCCGTAAGGACATAAAACACACTTGAAATGGAGCATTCTGAATGGTAGTGTCTTCTGGTAACAGAAAGTTCTGGTTGAGCCACATAGCAATCTTAAAAATGAATAGAATGAAATGAACTTCAACTATGAAAGTACAGTCATTAAAGAAGGAAGAATCTTCTCCATTCTTGGTTAAAAAATACTATACCTCACCCCTCACCAAGAGAGCACCAATCCTACTCCCTTCCCCCTCATACATGTTAAGTAAGATTCATAATTATGTCTGGCCCCCCACAGGCAGGATTTCAGTGTTTTCTACTCAGATGTAACCTTACTGCAACGTATGAAGGACTGAAGTGGGATGCTAACTGTTTACACAACAGTGCTGATGTGGGTAGAGCCGGAACAATGTTGTCTGCTTAAAACTATTCCATTCTACTCCTTTTTATTCTTTTTTTCAACAGTGGGGTTTGAATTCAGCGTCAATACTCCAAGTACTCTACCACTTGAGCCAGGTCCCCAGACCCCACTGTATCCTTCAAAGATGAATACAAGTGAAAACACCACAGACACAGAGTTACTTCCACACAGTAAGTTTTAACGTTAATAATAACAATACTTCACAGTGTTTTGCAACCTGAGTTCCATGTAAAAATCACCTGGAGGCCATTTGGAAAGTCCTCCTGTGGAGTTTCTGGTTCCATAGGCCAGGTAGGAACTTGAACTCTGAAGGTTAAAGTTCATTTGCTTAAACGTCCTTTAAACTTTATAAGGGGCTTTCACACCAATCTTCAAGGACCCTTTATGAGGTATGAAACACTATCCTCACTTACAGATAAGGAAATGAGGCTCAGACTGATGAGGAGAATTCTTCAAGATCACTAGCAGTTTAATGTGTTAAGTTGTATTTGAACCCGAAAAAAATGTTCCCAGCTCTCAATCTCACTCTTTTTCCATGTTTTGTTTTTCTTCTTTTTGAGACAAGGTCTCACGCTGTACCCCAGGCTGACCTCAAACTCCTGGGCTTAAGCAATCCTCCTGCTTCACCCTACCAAGTAGCTACATCTACAGATACCTGCCACTGTACCCAGCTTCTCTCTTTCCATCTTGATGTAAGTTTCTCTTGAAACACTAAGTCAAGATAACCACACTAATTCCGTAACAAAAGAAAAAGCATAATTAAGAATTGATATAGCCAGGCATGGTTACTCACACCTGTAATCCCAGCTATTCAAGAGGAGAGTTGTGGTTCGAGGCCAACCAGGGTAAAAAGTTAGCAAGACCCTATATCAATCAAGAGCCAGAAGTGGTGGTAGGTGCCTATCATCCCAGCTATAGGAGATTGTAGGTAGGAAGATCTAGGTCTGAGGCTGACCCTAAGCAAAAACATGAGACCCTGCCTGAAATATAACTAAAGCAAAAAAGCAGATGGGGCTCAACTGCCTAGCAAGCCTGAAGCTCTGAGTCCAAACTCCAGTACAGCGTCCCCCTCCAAAAAAAAGAATTGGCAAAAATTCACCTGTAATTACGGATTGCACAGAAAGGACTGGGGGTACGGCGCAAGTGGTAGAATGCTTGTCTAGACACGGGGCCCAATCCCCAGTACTGCAATAATAATAATCATATAATAATGAGGGGATTTTAGCAGTATTTTGATTACAGGTTTTACCTCTACCAACATAACATATTCATGTAACATCTTCCTTCCTACAGAGTAGCATCTAGTGAATTAAAGTACGAAAACACTGAGAGAAAAGAGCAGACTACTCACCCTCTGCGCACGCTCTGCAATGACAAAGTTCACGTAACCGAGCGGCTCAGTGGCAGAATCCGGGCTGCTCAACGCATACATGGTGAAGCGGGGGAGCTGTTTTGTCAACTCAAACACGTGGAACTGGGTGCTATTGTCAGCCAATGGGACACAAGAGAAGTGTTTGGTGTGTTATTTCAAAATGCAAGGCCCAGATAAGAAAGTCACTATCACGTGATCATCAATTGATATATAAAGGTCACTGAAGAAAAAACCCAACACTTGAGGGCTAAAGTACTGTAGCAATGAGGCTTGGGAATTAAAGATAACATGAGTCTATATATATTGCACATGATGCACCTAGGTTAAACACCCTAAAGCGAATGTGAAAAGGCTTTTTACCTTCCCCAAAGGCAGATTCTTCACTACCTTCACTACCGTAACTAACACAAAGGTCATTCGACCCTTAAAGCCTAGTGCTAAGTTAACAAATCAACAATGAAACTTAAGCACACGCTCTACCACTGACGTGTCCCCTGCCAATTAAACATATTTTAAAATTTGTGACTCTGAAATAATCTGATTAAAGACAGAAAATAACCTCTTAAACTTAAAATGCCTCCCTTTTTGTAAGTATTTCATATTAGGGAAATAAAGATCATGGGAATTTAACTGGTGGGCAGAACCAAAATGACTCTCGGCCCCAAAGGAAAAATACCCATCCTGCCCTCCTCTATGTGCTTGCTCTACGGAAATGAACTTTGACTTGTAAAGGATCACCTGCTTCTGTAACCCACGAAAACTTTCAAGTGCATCGACAGGGACATCTTTGGGGGTATCGGGATACAGATAGAGCTGGAGACATGTGAATGCTGGGTGGACCACATGGCTTCACCTACAAAAATTCCCTCTGCAAAAATCAATACTGCTCGGATGACGGCATCTGCAGGGAAGAGGTAAAACAGCAGTTTAGGAACTATTCAAGATGGCAGGCACCTACAAACACCAGTTGCAAATAATAATGTCTTACCTTAGAAGTGGAAATGCACAGTTTGCATGCGCAGCTTGCGTCTTGTTCCCCAGATTGACTGAGAGGGCAGTATGAGCTTGGTGTTGGCTGGGATTACACCCCTTTGCCCATCAGCCTCATTCAGTGGACTGCTCAATTCAGCCTGCAAACACCCCACCCATTTCAATTCAGTCAATGAGACAATGAACTAAGGCTCATGGTAAATAACATGGCTACTCAGCTTCAAAAGACAGATCCCCTTCTCTTATTAATCTCATTCTTTGGAATTCCTCTGATTCCACTCACCTTGCTCCCTTTGCTCTATCTGGCCTATCTGTAGTTATGGTTCACTGCACCTTATCATGTTTTTACATTCTTTCATGTTGTTCTTTCAAAATAACAGGGACAGAAGTATAGCTCAGTGGCAGAGCACATGCCTAACGTGCACAAGGCCTGGGCTCAATTCCCAGCACCAAATAAGTAAACAATAATAACTCAGTTGTATAATAAAATATAGATACAACGCCTAACAAATGCACTGCTGGGGCTCCTATAGCAAATCAATATAGTAATATACAACAGGACAAATTAAAGTCCCACTCCTAGCTCTCTCCAGCCAATTTAGTGTGCACACAAACACACACACAAGTGTTGTCTGGGGCTACTGGTTGTCAATTTCTACATTACTTGTTTTTGTAAAAGATAAAAGAAACATTCTAGACATAATGTTCTGCTCTTTTCACTTAACATACCACAGATACTCCTCTGTGTCAGTCCAATGTGTACACTTCATTCTTCCAGCGTTTATATTCCTAGCATATGCTCCCTATCTTAAGTTGCTTCCAGCTATTTACTGCTATAAATAACACTGCAGTAAGTGTCTCAGACATCAAGCAAGTATTTCTACAGTTTACTAGCCTGGAGTGGAATTTCTAATCAAATGATACTGCCCTCTCTTATTTATGTATTTATTCATTTATTTATTTATTTTTGTATAGTGCCCGGGCCTTCACCACTGACTACATCTCTACCCAGCCTTTATTTCCCTCCCCTTTTTTGAGACAGGATCTCTCCACATTGCCCAGGTTGGCCTCAAATTCACAATCTCCTATGTACTAGGATTATAGGTATGGACCACCAATCCAGTTTACATGCCCTCTTAATTCTAGCACTGACACAAGGATGAAGCAATCTGCATTTGTGCAGGTGGCAGGAGGAGCCTACACACAACACTGTCACACTTGCTGCTTCTCTGGTCAGTCTCAGTATTTCAGACTCCATCCCCTTCACAAAGGCCCTACTTGGCGTTTCCTTGTAGTTGTGGGTTCCAGCAACAGGTTCTGCTTTTTCTGACTCAGGTCTCGGATCAGATCCTGCTCCACACTGGTTCATGAGGGTGCCCTCATCTCAGTTGTGCAGGCAGGTAGCCCCGACTGAACAGAGGAAAAAAACACTCACTAGTCTGGGGAATAAAAAGTACAGCTACATCTACTTTAAAGTCATTAATTACTTGTTCTTAAGACCCAAAAACCCAAACCTCAGTTTGACTTAGATGAATGTATTAGAACTAAAGGATCTAATACTTTATGGTGGCATCCCTAGCATTTTGAAAACTGGAAATGTGACTTTTCAAGGACTTTTCTCATCCCAATTACTTTCCCCATCCACTGAGCAGAATTAACTGTATGTGGCCATCCATCTGGTAATCTCCTCCACACGCAGCAATTGCAGAAGAGAAATTGTCTTTAAAGATGAACCTCCCCTGTCGGTCCATTCGAGATCGACCTAAAAACAAAGAACTTACAAAGTCATGTATGCTACAGTTTTAAAACAGCAACACCATTTTAAAAAGTAAAAACGCTTTAAAGATCTTTAGTCTGCTGTTTGCAAATTTCTGCATCAATGAGTCCCGTGATTTTCCGGCAATACTGACAGCTGAGATAAGGCAACTATAAGGGCCAAGCCAGGTGTGCTTTTTCCTTTCTCAATAAAGCTGTTTTACATAATATTTCATTTAGAGAAATGTGTCTGCTGAGAGCAGTTCCTATAGTATCTACAGCATAGTGCAAGAGGCCATGGGCTCTAAGGATAGCTGCCCAGGTCCAGATCACCTGCCTATGGGATCTTGGGCAAGTTTCTTAACCCTCTTGTTTGGTTATCAAAAATCAGAACATGGAGAAAAAGCAATCTCATAGGGTTGTATGCGGGCTGAAACAGTTAACATATGTAAAAATGTCAAACATGCCTGGTGCACAAGGGTACACAATAAATGTTAGCTCGATAGGAAAATTGTATCTTTGATACATAAATGTATAAGATATATTACATCTAATGTTTAAACAATGCAAACTTAGCCCAATTGTCTCCACACAACCTTTTCTAAGAACCTGTGAAGGAAGAGTCTCTTCCACAAAACCTTCACACTCTCCTATCCACTCTTTTCCTGGAGACAGTACAGTGAAAAACTGACTGATCAGTAGCAAATCATCTTAAAAACAACAATGAAGATGCTATATTGAAATGGTTTTGTTCTGGGCAAGAGTACAGGTGTTACTAACAAAGGCTAGTTATGGAAACCCTGGTAGAGCAACCATTTCAATGACAATAGCATTCACTGTTTTTATCTTGAATAACATCCTTCTGGGAAAAACTCTGCAACCAAAAAATATAGTAATTTATAGCACAGCCTACTCTTTCATCTGGAGTATATCACAGTCAAGTAGCACGTTACCTAGAGCATCATCATGTAAGCCTACAGATTGTGATTCCCAGAGCCTGTAAAGCAGGAATGCCTGCATTTTACCAAAGCTTCCTTAACACATTAGCACAAACCCTCTTCCTCAGGCTGAACTGAACTTGCGTCTTTCCAGTGAAACTGTAGCTATGCAAAACTCTCACACTGCAATTCTACAATTTAGCAGTAAGAGGGCTCACGTGCTAACTAAGGAGGCGCACCGTAAGCTTCTATTCCTGGGGTATTCTATGCTTTTGCTATCTAACAGATTTCGTCCTAAGGGAGGGAACAGCCCTCCAACTCAAAGGTGACCTACCGAAGACAACGTTAACTGGTGCTTTACCCTATATTCACAAGCTGGATCTATTTTTTTCTACACTATTTCTGTTAAGTATAGATAGTTAGTTTTCCCACTTATATAATGATTGTATAATTTTCTTAACTTTTTTATGCTCTGGAACAGATTATATAACAGAAAATCCTTAAAAATTGAAAACATGTAGTTATATAAACTCTAGGCATAGAGTCATATTTGGAGAAAACTTTTAATATTTTCTCAAGTTTTTCTTTTTTTTGGCAGTACTGGGGTTTGAACCCAGGGCCTCTCACTTGCTAGGCAGATACTTTACCACTTGAACACTCACCAGCTCAAGTCTAGTAGTCTTCTAATTCTTGAATCAGTCATAATTTATGGGTCCCTTCCACATAAAAACTATTCAGACTCCTGAATATGGTCTGGATACTCCATAGTTCTAAATGGTCTAAATGTTCACATCTCCTCGAAATTTGCATGTTGCAATCCAACCCCCAAAGTGATAATATTAGGAGGTAGAATGTTTGGAAGGTGATTAGATCATGAAGCCAGAGAACCTCATATATGGGATTAGTGCCCTTATAAAATGCTCCAGACAGATCTCTCACCTCCTCATGCCATGTGAGGTTACAGTGAGAACAGTCACCTATGAAGAAGCCTCATTTGGTGTCTGTCCTCACCAGACACCAAATCTGCCAGCACCTTATCTTGGACTTGCCAGCCTCCGAAACTGTGTAAAATAAACTTCTGTTTTTACAAGCTATTTGGTCTCTGGTACTTTGTTGTAACAGCCAAAATAGACAAAGACATTCATTTTTATGGACTTTCAAATTTCTTAATAAGCAACTATAGTCTTTTCTTACAATGTTTAATACCTATATCAAATACAAAACAAGAAGACAAGCAGGAACCAACCTAGAAACTTTTTAGAACCTGTTCTTTACAAAACACCAAAGGAAGGCTGGAGAAGTCCTGGCCAAAAGTAAAGAAGAAAAAGCAGGAAGAAAAGACCAGAATTAGCCGATTCCCTTACATAGTCCAACAGTGACAGAAACAAAGGCTAGGCAAATGGTATCCATGGAGATCTGGGAGCTACTTAGGCAGTTTCTAACGAGACAATCTTGACTTGCCAAAAGACTGTAAGAAATTCTGATCTGAAGTTAAAAAGGAAAGAAAGCAAAGAATTTCACTTTGAAGTTAAACAATATGCTAACATAAGTCTTCCCACTAATTCTAAGTTTTTAATCTATTTTAATAATTTATTAGGAAAGAACTGTTCTGACAGTTCATTATTGAGGTTATTAAATTTTCTTTTTTTAACTGGTCTACACCCTACAATCAACCTGACTGATGGATTCCCATTCCTTCAAAGAGATCTAGAAAGAATCTTCCGGGAGATTTTCTCTTAAACAGGGTTTATAAGGCCAAAAGGAAATTCAGTCCACAGCAGGGAGAAATAAAATGGAAAAATTAAGAAGTTAAATTTGAAAATACAGCCAAGGAACTCAGGTTTATATTTTCATGTCACTATTCCAAGTCATGCAACCAATAACACAATAATTACTTTTGACTTATACATGAATTCTGCTTTTTAAACCTACCTTCCCATTGGACCAACCAGTTATCAGTTCACACACTCCATCACAATTGAGGTCAAAAGAATGAATACTCATGGCATGATTTTTGGACTGAAAAAGAATCACAATAATTAGTACAGAAGTCTCTCAATGTTGAAAATATAAAGTCCCTGAATATGAGAGGCTGAATTGTACTAACTTTAATTCTCCAGTATCGTGCTGTTTTGTCATAAACCCCAACTGTGCCATTGGAAAGGGCATAACCAAATCGACTGCCATTCATGGGACATAGAGAGGTGATTATCTGCAAAAATAATGCATAAAAACATATGACTCATTCAGGCTCTTAATGTGAATACAACTTTATAAAACTGCATGCCTTGTTATAACTCCATTGAAATTAGATTTAAAAGGACTTCCAAAAATAAATATATTGATAAAAAGCACTTCCATCAATTAGTGGGGAATGTATTCCTTTCTTTTATGGTCCATATCATCTATCTCAGAGCTGGATAATCAGATTTAAATAAACTCACTAAGTTTGATGTTTGGGATCAAGTTCCAGAAAATTATTTTAAAAAAGCAGTAAAACTGAGGTATTAAGGAAGAAATAAGCTAAGTACATAGGTCGAGAATATATACAATTGATGTTGTTATATATATTAACCCAAAAGGTTTTAATGACTATTCCAGTTTTCTTAATTTATATCCTACATTTCAAAAAGAATTGTGTCCCACAACTGAGTAACTTTTACCTGTATACTTTTTTTCTATGACATAATTTATTATTCGCTAGAGGTAAAATAAAGTACAATCCTTTCAAAACTGAAAATCCAGGCACATGGACTTGTGTGGTATGTAACAATATAAGGAATGCATAAATTACATAGAAGTATTTATAGGACTGCATTAAGATAAACACACTTGAAAGGATAAAATTTTAGATACTAAACAAAATTATCCTTTAAGCTAAAACTTAATGATACCTATGATCCTACAGATCTACTTTTTAATTCTGGCCCTAATATAAGAGATACGCATGAAATTGTATAAGGATAAAAAAATAAATTGTACAAAGCCAAGAATAGTTATATAATTTACTTTACATCTACAGCTTTTCTACAAAACACTCCCTTCAACTCTGGGTACAAAGTGCTTGTGTAGTATTCTAGAATTATTTAGCTCAAGGCATCTTCTGGCAATACTCAGTACTGTTCAACTGCCAAATGAATCATGGTTTTGCTTATCTGGAGAAACATATTTGAGTAGAGCAAATCCAAACCAAGAAGACCAGAAAATGTCCCTGCAAATGAACAGCTTTATTTTTTCAATTTTTGTTTCAGTGGTACTGGGATTTGAATTAAGGGCCTCATGCTTACTAAGCAGATGCTCTACCACTTGAACCACCCCACTGGCCCTTTTTTTGTTTTGGGTATTTTCGAGATAGGGTCTTGAGAACTGTTTTCCTGGGCTGGCTTTGAACCACTATCCTCCTGATCTTTGCCTCCTGAATAGCAAGGATTACAGCATGAGCCACCAGTGACCAGCTTTTTTTAATTATCTTTTGTTTTTTCAGACAGGGTCTCACCTCAAACTCACCATTTTCCTGCCTCAGCCTCCCAAGTGCTGGGATTATAGGCATGCCCAGCAACTCAAAGGAACAATTTTATAAAGTCCATGTTTTCACAAATTTAGCACCAAATTAACCAGGTCCTTCGGTCCTTCCATTGTTCATTCATTTCTTTCTTTTGTGGGCCAGAGAAGCAACAAGTTCCCTCTGATCTCTACCTCTATTCCATGTTCCCCTCTCCTTTTCTAGGACTTAGGAAAAAAGTACTTCAAAGAGCATACTCTTCTCATATCTAATACTGACAAAAAAACAGAAAAAAAAAAAAAGAAATGAATGATTTCTTACCAAATGGGAAAAGATTTACACACATTTAAATGAAATACAATAACGCAGGGCACAGCACCAAATGCCTGTGACTCTCAAGTTGTTGTTTTGGAAGTTTGGGGAGGACTACAAAACCCATTTAAGAATCTAACAAAGGACTGATGAAGTGGCTCAAGTGGAAGAGCATAAGGTCCTGAGTTCAAATACAGTAGCACACAAAAAAAAAAGTAAAAAGAAGAATAATGAAAGCTAAGGACCCTCTTTCTGGAAAAACATGCTTAAGCAATATATTAAGCCTGCCTTATTCACAGATTCATTACACATGGTTTTGACCAAGTATGGTCAAAATAAATAAATAAAATCAAAAGAAATTTCAAAAACAAAAAATTTTAACTTCCTGCATGTGCATTCCACAGCTAATTGAAGCAGAGAAGTTCTCAGTCAACCGTGCATTACTGTCAATTGTGTTTAAATTGAGTGATCTGCTGAGTGTTTCTCTGCCCTTAATTTTGTGAAAATGTACCTCCCAAAAAGCAAACAGTGCCCCAAAAGCAAGGTAAAACTTTTGGCAACCCTCCTAAGACAAAAAAAAAAACCATAATGTGCTTAATTTAAGTAATAAGGTAAGAATTTTACATTTACTGAAAGGCAGCAGGTCTTTAGCAGAAGTTGGTAGCTTTTTGGGAAAAACAAATCGAGGTCTAGTTTTTGGTGAGCAGTATTAACCTGTACAAAGGTGATTTTTGAGACAGTAATGTAGCCTACTCCATGTGGTTTCGTGTTATGGATATTCAGACATGTGCCCGTACACATGGCACAGGAAAATGTGAGTAATTTTAAGAGTACTGAACTGTATGCATCCTGAGCATCAGTGGGTTTTCCTCAACAGCAGACTACTAGGAACCACATACCCACAGGTTGCAGGGGTCTACTGTACTCATATAAGAGGACCTCTCCACATACACACATCTTCATACTACTCTTTTTGGCAACCATTTCTCTCCATCCACAACTATCATTTTACGTTATAATAAATATAGGCCAGGCATGGTGGTACACACCTATAATCCCAGCACTCAGGAGGCAAAGGCAGAAGGATCTAGAGTTCTAGGCCAGCCTGGGCTACACAGTCATATCCTGTTTGAAATAATAGTAATAATGATAATAATAAATATAAATATATAAAAAGTATAGTACAAAGTAAATATCCACAGTTTTCATCCTAAATCTGTGAGAAGATGCCTGCCACCGTCATTTATATGACATTTGTGCTGCTCCATTTTACCCAAGATTACTCTAATTCTGAGGTGGCACCTCCTACCTCTGTTTCTGTCATTTCTGCCACAATCTCATCTTCTTTAAAAACTCGAATGTCAAAATCCTCAGATCCAACAAGAAGCTGAAGGTGGGAAAATCATAAACATTTAGTTTAGTAAGTGAACAAAGCAAAATTTCCATAAATAAAACAAAAATTGGATAGTATTTTACTGCTATGTTGTCTCCAGTAACTTAAAAACAAAACCACATTATTGCTTATACTCTCTCTTCAACAAAATTAGAAATAAGGGCAAAATAGTTCCTGCCGGGTAGTGAGGGGTAAGGGGGGAAAGGGAGGGGGCGGGAGGAAGGGGGAGAAATGACCCAAACATTGTATGCACATATACAATGTTTATGTTTAATATACAATAAAAATTTTTTTAAAAACCCACAAGTCATTAATATGCTACGAAGAGGAGAATTATATAATCCTCCAGTAATCCAACACTTGAGGAGGTCCTGACCAATTCAGTCAGTGAAAAACAAGGCTTCTACCCGTCTTTCCAACACGTGGGACGCACATCTTGCCTGAACATGTCACTGCACATCTGCAATCCAGTGTGGATCAGCAGCCCTTTGCTGCAGAGGGAAACACTGTTGCAAACACCAGAGTGCAGTGTCCATGGACAAGAGAGAGCTAAGTTAGTGCACTCCACATGCACTGATTGCTCAAGAAGTGAATTTCTAGACTCAGCTTTAGAATAATTTCAAAAGCTAAGAGACAATGGGTAAAACTTTTAGATTCCTAAAATAGTTGGCCAAAACTGAAAACTACTTACTAATAATGGTTTCAAAGCATCAAAACAACTTATAACATTGTGACCATGACTCAGGTCCCATCAACCATTCTGCCTTCTCTGCCCTTTCCCGTGTCTTTGAAACTTCATGGCCTTGATCTTTGTATCAGACAAACACAAATGATTTACTGTTCAAAGAGAAGAGATAGGAGCAGGACATTATGGCACATGCCTTTGATCACAGAACTCAGGAGGCAGAGGAAAGTAGATCACATGTCTGAAGCCATCCTGGGCTACTAGTGAGTTCTATGTCAGCCTGAACTACTTAGCAATACCCTGGCAGAGACTCTGGGAGGGAGGAGGAGACAAACAAAGGCCAGATGACTCATCATTTAGTTAACAGAGCTTCAAAATGGGTCATGAGAAGCTAATGCCTCTCTCAACACCAATGTCGCTGTCGTGGATAAACTGATTCATCTGGACATACCAAACTGGTGTCTGCTCCTCCACTTACCTCTTTCTTCCCATCACCATCAAAGTCACATAGGGCCAAAGAATGAACATTGTCTCCAGTAACCTGAAAATAAAACCAAAAGTCATTAATATGCTACATGAAGAGGAAGATTATACAAACCACCAAAGAGTTATCCAGATTACTCTCTAATGTATACAAACTGTAAATAATGTTCTATTTTTTATTATCAGTACAATCAGTGGTTTAAAATAATCTAAAGAAAATTAAAAGTAAAAATGCTTAAGAGTTCCAAAAAAAGTGTTTAGTTCTTCATACCGTCCAAAACAGATCATTGCCTTCATGATCAAAACCCTGCAGAGAACAATTTCCACCAACAATTGCAAGAGGAGCGGCAATGTCTCCCAATGTCCCCAGCACAATAGCATTTGCCCCATCGGCAACCTAAGAAGAGAAAAAAATAATCACACATACAATGAAATGCATGCACACTGGAGGTAATGTACATCTGTGCTTTATCTGAATGCTCAAATTCTTCTGTCATCACTGTCAGAAGCTACATGGTGTGTCACTGAGGCTTGTCGCTATGGCTTCTGCAAGGATGAGCATAGATCCAGTGTAAACTCAGACTCTCACATTTAACTGCTGCTTTGATAACCTAGCACTGTACAGGTCTGCCAAGTTCTAGAGAGCAAATTCTCCAGAGAATCACACAATTTTCTTTTAAGTACTGCTTTTTGTTTTGTTTTGTTTTTCTCCCAGTACTAGTTTTTTTTTGTTTGTTTGTTTTTCATTACTGGCTTGGCTTTTGTGAGGCAGGCATGCTACCACATGTGGCACCCCCCAGCTAAACACAAAATTTTAAATTAAATTTTAACAATTTTAGACAGAAATCTTTGATAGTATTACTCAGTTCTCTCGCTGCTGTTTTTTTGTTTTGGACAGTACTGGAGTTTGAACTCAGGGCCTCAAACTTGGTAGACAGGTGCTCTACCAATTGAGCCACTCCCCAACCTTTTTGGCTTTAGGTTATTTTTCAGATAGGGTCACTTTTTGTCTGGGGCCAGTCTTGGACTGTGATCCCCCTACCTATGGCCTCCCCATGCTACCACATTCAACTTCATTGGTTAAGATGGGGTCTCACTAACTTTTTGTCCAGGTTTGCCTTGAACTGTGATGCTCTTGACCTTTGCCTTCCCAAGTGCTAGGATTACAGGTATGAACTACCACACTCAGACTACTATTATTCTTTTTAATTTTAAAGTTACTTAAAATAAAAGAATAATGGTCCCACCATCTAGAATTAACAAATATCTCAGACTTCTTTAATATGTCAGAAAAATATAATGTAATGGATTTATGGAGGATTCAAGGACGTCTTTCTAAACACTGTTTACTTCACAAGAAAATAATCCTGATATAATCTTTAAGTAGGAAAACTAAAAGAAAAGATTGGCTATTAAAAAAAATAAATATGAGGGCTAGCAGAGTGGCTCAAGTGGTAAGAGCACCTGCCTTGTAAGCATGAGGCCCTGAGTTCAAACCCTAGTACTGTCAAAAAGAAAAAAAAAAAAAAAAGAAATAGCTATAAAGGAAATAAAGATACCATAAGAAACTTAAACTGTCAAAAGGACAATCAACCAAGAAATAAAGTTAAAAGCTAAACAATAAGTAGCCAGGTGCACACCTGTAGTCCCAGCTAAGTGGGAGGCTGAGGCAGGATGACTGCCTAAAGCCCAGGACTTGGAAACCAGCTCAAATAACAAATAAGACAAAACAAACAAAAAAGTAAAAGGTAAATAATGTACTGGGAAAAATAATGACTATATGAGACTTATTATTTGTTAATAAAATGCAAATAAATAAGAAAAGAATAAACATCCCAACCACTGCCAAGAAAAGCAAAAAAGTTTACTAGAGAAGAAATAGAAATAGCCAACAAACATAAAGTGTTCTTTCATAGAATATATCATTTTCACGTTTCAGATAAGCAATGATGACAAAGAATCTCCATTGTTGGTTAGGGTATAATAAAACAGGCACTCATATTTTGATGAGGTAAGAAAAAAAAAACAGGAGTCTTTCTACACAGTAATTTGGCAGTATCTATTAAAAATCTCATTTAGTTAGGGGCATGCCTGCAATCCCAGCACTCAGGAGATTGAGGGAAGAGAATCATGAGTTTAAGATTAGCCTGGGCTATACAGTAAGCCCCTGTCTCACTAAATGAATAAATAACTCATATAAAAAAGGCTTTTGGCTTAGAAATTATATTTCTGCTTTTTATTTATTTTCTTTACTTTGTTGTCATTGTATCAAACATAACAGTGAAACAATAAAAATAACATAAGTGTTATCTGTGTATATTGTATTGATAAACAAATTATTATATATTAACACAATGAAATACTATAGAACCAAAAGAATAATATATAGATACATAGCAATTTCATTTGAAAATACTTTAAAATATATTAATAAATGAAAAGTTCATATGTATCTGGTTTTTTTTTCAGAAAGGGTCTCTCTTTGTAGCTCAGGTTAGCCTTGAATTCAGTACAAAGCCATTATCAAACTCATGATCTACCACAGCCTCCCAAGTTCTGGAATTACGAGTGTGTGCCAGCTAAAAAGGCCACAAGAAATAGCCAGGGAGTGTACTGCTCACTAACTCAAGAATGAATAAACAAACTGTGGTATATACATATGGAATATTACTGAGCCATAAAAAGGAGTGAAGTCCTAATACATGCTACAACATGGGATCAACCTGGAAAATACTATGCTAAGACAAAGCCAAACACAGAAGACCACTATTACATGATTCCACATTTATGAAATGGCTGGAATAGGCAAATTTATAGGGATCAAAAACAGATTACTGGTTGTCTAAGGTTAGAAGGTTAAGGAACAATGGAGAGTGCCTATTAATGGATATGGGGTTTCTTTTGGAAGTAATAAAAGTGTTTAATTGTGGGGATGGTTACAAAACTCTCTGAATAACTCAAACCAATTAATAACACATATGAGGTGAATTGTAGATATGTGAATTAGAGCTTTCCTTTTTTTATGGTGCTGGGGACTGAACCTGGAGCCTTGTGCATGCTAGGCATGCACTCCAACACTGGGCTACGTCCCCAGCCCTGAATTATATCAGGCTACACGTTTATAGTATGGTCCCATTTTGTCAAATAAACTATTATTCATGGGCCATATGTTGTGGTACACACCTGTAATCCCAGCTATGCAAGAGGAAGAGAAAAAAGGATCAAGGTTAAAGGTGGAGGAAGGGGGTGGATGAATGTCAGCAAGACCCTATCTCAAAAACAGGCCAGGCATGGTGGCCTGTGCCACTAATCCCAGCTACTTGGGAGGCAAAGGAGAAGGATCAGGGTTGAAGGGAAGCCTAGGCAAAAAAAATACAAGGCTTTATCTGAAAAATAATGAAACACAAAGGATTGGGGCTCAAGTGGTAGAGCACCTGTCTACCAAGCACAACGCCCTAAATTCATGCAGTAGTATCACATAAATAAACAAATGAACAAATAAATAAATAGGTTTTACTCATATATACTTAGTAAAAAATAATGGAGCCGGGATCCAGACTTGGTAGTACACTCCTGGAATCTCAGCACTTAGTAAAGTGAAGCAGAAGTATCTCAAGTTTAAGGCCAGCCTAGGTGACACAGTAAGACCCTATCTCAAAAAACAAAACAAAATTCTGGATGAATAAATTCAAGACTAGAAGTTATTTCCAGATAAAGAAACTGTGGGTATTTTTTTTTCTTTTTGGCAGTGCTGGGGTTTGAACTCAGGGCTTCATGCTTATTAGGCACCTGAGCCATGCCTTTAGCTCTTTTAACTCCGGTTATTCTGTATTCATGGTCTCACTTTTTACCCAGGCCAGCCTGAGTTTCCATCCTCCTATTTTATGCTCTCACCATCATGGGATGACAAGGACACACCACCATGCCCAGCCCAGCTTTTTATCCATTAAGATGGGGGTCTCAAAAACTTTTTGTCTGGGCTGGCTTAGAACCACAATCCTCCCAATCTTAGCCTTCCAAGTAGCTAGGATTATAGGTGTGAGCCACCAGTGCCTGATCACTTCCTTATCTTTTCTGTAATAAATACGAATTACTTGGCTATTAAAGTTGCAGTAAGGGCTGGAGGAGTGGCTCAAGTGGAAAAGCATCTGTTCAGCAAGGGTGAGGCCCTGAGTTCAAACCCCAGTACTACCAAAAAAAAAAAAGAAATGGAATGAATAAAGTGGAGATTGATGAAAAGATCTGGGTAGACCAAAGGAATCCTCTGCTGGTCTCCCAACATAAGGGGCTGCAAACACATTCGCCGTGCACTGGTGGCTCATGCCTGTAATCCTAGCTATTCAGGAGGCAGAAATCAGGAGGCTGGTTCAAAGCCAGCCAGGCAAATAGTTCCTGAGAACCTATCTTGAAAAAAACCCATTACAAAAAAGGGCAGGTGGAGTAGCTCAAGGGGTAGGCCCTGAGTTCAAGCCCCAGTACCACAAATAAATAAAATAAAGTTGCAATAACCTGTAGATGGCAGGCTACAGTAAGGGCTTCTCCTACAAACTACTGTACTAAACTTTAACACAAGACCACCAGGAGAACTGTTTGCTGGCTTCCAGCTCCTGGCTGAATTCTCAATTGGAGATCTTGACAGATAGTGGTATCACAGATAGACCTCACAGGGACAAGCAGGAGTGTTGCCAAGTGATTACCAATTACAACAAAATAAATAAGTTCCAGTACATAAAATCAATGTAAATGGCAAACACCATACTTTAACAGTTGCAAAAATATAAAACCAACATAAATATGTGAGCTAGGCACTGGTAGCTCATGCCAGTAATCCTAGCTACTTGGGAGATTGAGATCAGGAGGACTGAGGTTTAAGGCCAGCCAGAGCAAACAGTTCACAAGACCCCATCTCCAAAATAACCAGAACAAAATGGACTGGAGGTGTGGCTCAAGGGCTAGAGCACCTGCTTTGCAAGTATGAAGTGCTGAGCTCAAACCCGAGTCCCATGAAAAAAAAATGTGTAATCTCTTTCAAACATAAAATACAAATGGACATTATTGGCAATGGGAATTTTATGGCTTAAAAGGGGTATACTTGCCTCTCTGTAGAACAAGTCTGAGTTATTGTAGACATCATAAGCCAAAAGATTAGTCCGTGTCCCCACTAAAAGAGCATCACAGCCAAGGTCAGGGTTCAGTTTTCCTGCAGTCAAGCAACTGACTTCCTGGTTAATGTTGAGGAGAGAAACATCAGACTCCAGGGGGCTGTGAAAGACTCTGGATGCTCTGAAAGGTTGGTACTGTGTATGAGGATTGTGAATAAAAACCTGAAACAAAAAGTTAATTCTATTCCATTAAAATATCAAAAATGCTCAATTTACATACTTTTTAAAAACCTAGGTTAGTAACAGATATCAACATTAATAGTCACTTTAATCTACGAAGCTTAAGCTGGTGAAGTGGCTAAAGTGGTAGAGCACTACCTAGCAAGTATGAGGCCCCGAGTAAACCCCAGTACCACTCAAAAAAAAAAAAAAAAGTGATTAATCTATGAAGCTTAAGAGACTTATACACAGCTGGGTACCTGGCCACCTTTCAATCCTTATAAATTATGGAAATCCAGTGTTTCTTAGCCCTGTAAAGAACAAGGTAATGAACAGATCTGGTTGCTTCTTACCAGGGTGCTCATATGCTCCCCACCAGAAGGAAGAAAAACACTTTTACAAACCAGCCTCTTCCTACCCAGTGGGAAGCTGCTGCCAGCTTCAATGAGATTCATTGAGATTGGGATGGAGGTGGTCTTAAATATTAGAATGGTTTATGGTCTCCAAAGGGCCACAGTACAAAGAGAAATATACAAACCACCCATGGTAACACATCTGTAATCCCACATCTGGGAGGCTGAGGCAAGAGGATCAGTAGTTCAAGCCAGCATGGTCTACAAATTGAGAAAAAAAAAATTAAGGCAGATATACAGTATATCTGCAGTATTAAAATTTCATTGGGGAATTTTTTTTCTTGAGGACCAATACAGAAAAAGAATGGGGAAAATACTTAAACTTGAAATCCCTTAGGTCCCTTCTAGTTGTAAAATGTGCTGATTTTAAATGAGTGTCTCATCCTTTCAGTATAAATCCAAACAGAAGGGCGAGGGATGGGGGGGACGTGATCATGGTTTAAGTGGTAGAATACCTGCACAGTAAGTGCAGTGCTCTGAGTTCAAACCCCAGTGCTGCAAAAATAAATTCTAACATTAATTTTAAATTACTTATACAAAGTAGCCTATTTATCAAAACATTTTAATTTTCAGAAGAACTGACTAGAAAACAGAAAATGTGCGCATCTGCTGAATGTCACATCCTGTTCTCATTTGTGTGATGTTTCACAACACACTTTTTTTTTTTCATTTTTCTTTTATTATTCATATGTGCATACAAGGCTTGGTTCATTTCTCCCCCCTGCCCCACCCCCTCCCCTACCACCCACTCCGCCCCCTCCCTCTCCCCCCCCCAAGACCCAGCAGAAACTATTTTGCCCTTATTTCTAATTTTGTCGTAGAGAGAGTATAAGCAATAATATGAAGGAACAAGGGTTTTTGCTGGTTGAGATAAGGATAGCTATACAGGGCATTGACTCACATTGATTTCCTGTGCGTGGGTGTTACCTTCTAGGTTAATTCTTTTTGATCTAACCTTTTCTCTAGTACCTGTTCCCCTGTTCCTATTGGCCTCAGTTGCTTTAAGGTATCTGCTTTAGTTTCTCTGCGTTAAGGGCAACAAATGCTAGCTAGTTTTTTAGGTGTCTTACCTATCCTCACCCCTCCCTTGTGTGCTCTTGCTTTTATCATGTGCTCATAGTCCAATCCCCTTGTTGTGTTTGCCCTTGATCTAATGTCCACATATGAGGGAGAACATACGATTTTTGGTTTTTTGAGCCAGGCTAACCTCACTCAGAATGATGTTCTCCAATTCCATCCATTTACCAGCGAATGATAACATTTCGTTCTTCTTCATGGCTGCATAAAATTCCATTGTGTATAGATAAAACATTTTCTTAATCCATTTGTCAGTGGTGGGACATCTTGGCTGTTTCCATAACTTGGCTATTGTGAATAGTGCCGCAATAAACATGGATGTGCAGGTGCCTCTGGAGTAACAGTCTTTTGGGTATATCCCCAAGAGTGGTATTGCTGGATCAAATGGTAGATCGATGTCCAGCTTTTTAAGTAGCCTCCAAATTTTTTTCCAGAGTAGTTGTACTACTTTACATTCCCACCAACAGTGTAAGAGGGTTCCTTTTTCCCCGCATCCTCGCCAACACCTGTTGTTGGTGGTGTTGCTGATGATGGCTATTCTAACAGGGGTGAGGTGGAATCTTAGTGTGGTTTTAATTTGCATTTCCTTTATTGCTAGAGATGGTGAGCATTTTTTCATGTGTTTTCTGGCCATTTGAATTTCTTCTTTTGAGAAAGTTCTGTTTAGTTCACTTGCCCATTTCTTTATTGGTTCATTAGTTTTGGGAGAATTTAGTTTTTTAAGTTCCCTGTATATTCTGGTTATCAGTCCTTTGTCTGATGTATAGTTGGCAAATATTTTCTCCCACTCTGTGGGTGTTCTCTTCAGTTTAGAGACCATTTCTTTTGATGAACAGAAGCTTTTTAGTTTTATGAGGTCCCATTTATCTATGCTATCTCTTAGTTGCTGTGCTGCTGGGGTTTCATTGAGAAAGTTCTTACCTATACCTACTAACTCCAGAGTATTTCCTACTCTTTCTGTATCAACTTAAGAGTTTGGGGTCTGATATTAAGATCCTTGATCCATTTTGAGTTAATCTTGGTATAGGGTGATATACATGGATCTAGTTTCAGTTTTTTGCAGACTGCTAACCAGTTTTCCCAGCAGTTTTTGTTGAAGAGGCTGCTATTTCTCCATCGTATATTTTTAGCTCCTTTGTCAAAGATAAGTTGCTTATAGTTGTGTGGCTTCATATCTGGGTCCTCTATTCTGTTCCACTGGTCTTCATGTCTGTTTTTGTGCCAGTACCATGCTGTTTTTATTGTTATTGCTTTGTAATATAGTTTGAAGTCAGGTATTGTGATACCTCCTGCATTGTTCTTTTGACTGAGTATTGCCTTGGCTATTCGTGGCCTCTTGTGTTTCCATATAAATTTAACAGTAGATTTTTCAATCTCTTTAATGAATGTCATTGGAATTTTGATGGGAATTGCATTAAACATGTAGATTACTTTTGGGAGTATCGACATTTTTACTATGCACAACACACTTTTATAAGTACTAATTGCAGCTGGTTGGTTGGCTCAGTTGGTTAGAGCATGGTGCTAATAAATATTAATTGCACTTGATCCTCACACTAACCCCTGATTTTTTTTCTTTTCTGGAGGCACTGGGGTTTGAACTCAGGGCCTCACGCTTGCTAGGCAGGTGCTCTTACCACTTACGCCACTCTACCAGCCCACCAATCCCTGGTTTATATACAAGGTCAGGAGTTAAGGCTTTTCCCAAGGTCTCAGGACAATAGGTGACTGGGTTCTGCCCCAGACCACATCACACTTTCTTTTACACACACACTTTTCTTTTTCTTTCTGAACAAAAGAATTCTTACACTCTTCTGGTATGAAGTATGCTGAAAAAGAACAGGAGGGAAAATAACTTACAGGCCCCATAGTCACTGTTACTAGAAAGAGTGTAATTTTTGCTGAGCAACAAGAATCCCAGGAGTCAGACTTCTCAGGTCCCCTCCTGCTGTTCTCTTCATACAGAAATAAGAGTCCCCATGGACACCTACCTGTCCCTTCAGGCAAGGAAAAAGCCAAGCTCAGTCACATGACAAACAGACCACTCCCCACGCCTCAGACTCTTCCCAAAGGACTGGCAGTAGTTTACATAGCATTTGTTCTAGCTGAGGGGGTACTGGTGACAGTATAAATTCAAATGACTCCCTCAGTTCTATGATGAGGGAAAAATACTGTAATATAATAAAATTTTAAAATGTATAAATAATATAATATAAAAAATATATTATATATTTATATATTTTTATATTTTTGAATTAAATTATATATATTTATATTTTTTAATTTATATTATATATTATAAATTATATAATATATTATATTATATATTAATATTATATTATATTATATATATATATTATTAATATTAATAATATATATATATACACAGTGTGTGTGTGTGTGTGTGTGTGTGTGTTTAATCTGATCTGTTAACTGTCAAGCAACCCCTGTCAAACAAAAGCTCCAAAGGGGCAAAACTTGTCACATTCACCATGGCACTGCAGAGCTTAAGAACATTGCCCAGCATCTAACAAGCCCTTAAATTAGAGGCTAAAGTAGTATCAATGGGATATTTCCAGCCCACTATATATAGTCTGTGCACACACAGCAGAACCAATAGGAATTTCTTTGGGCTACTTGTCAGTGCCTACTAACAGTAACAACTAATATCACATACCATACCCTGTGCTCACTGCTTTACTCCATCATAGGACTTAATTAAAAAGAATCATTACTTTTTAGGTGTATTTCCTGAGGCATAACCTATGAAGAAACATATGACATATATGGAAGTGTCTAGAAAACTGTAAATCATTACACAAATGCTATCTATGCAATCCACTCTGGGACAGAGACATTGCCTCTAACTCATTTCTACTACTTTGTAGGTGAGTGGCCTCAGGCACTGCTTTGAACTTCTCTGAATTGCTATTTCTAGTCAGTAAGGTAGGAGTCACCAAAAAAACACTTCTTCTCACATGCCAAGTGCATAACATGCATTAACATTTAATCCTCAGGACCCTATGTTGGGTGCTATTATTAAGTTCTTCACAAAAGGTTAAGAAATTAGTAGGTAAAGGAGCCAGAATCCACATTTGTGCTATGCTACTACCCCTGGTCTTGTAGCAAAGATGCTGAGAGAAATAGTATAAGAAGGCTTTGTACCTGTTAGAAGTTATAACCCCCCACACCCCTAGTACTGGGGATTGAACCCAGGGCTTTGAGCATACTAGGCAAGTGCTGTACGACTTGAGCCATGCTTCCAGCAGAAGTTATACCCTTGACGTCACTGTATTCTATGTACTTGGAGCATACCTTCATCAGCACACAGGGCCTTGATTTACCTTGTCTGTGGTCCTTCTAGACTTATTTATAAGCTTTGTGAAAGTAGAGACTCCCAACTTTCTCTCTGAATCCCCAACATTTGTATAAAGGAGGTGTGAATGTTGGCCGGGCACTGGTGGCTCACGCCTGTAATCCTAGTTACTTAGGAAGCAGAGATCAGAAGGCTCGAGGTTCGAAGCCAGCCCAGGTAAATATTCTCAAGAACCTATTTCCAAAATACCCATCAAGGTATTTGGCTCAAGGCGAAGGCCTTGAGTTTAAGCCCCAGTACCGCAAAAAAGAAAACTGTGAATGCTGAATGATCCTTTTTTTTTTTCATTTCTGTGACTCTCACACTCTGCACAGTACCTGGCACGTAGTACCTAATAAGTACTTCATGAGTGTATGTGGTCAAGAACCAAAAAGTGCAATCTGAATTTAATTTAGGGGTGTTTACAGTCTTCCCCCTCCTCTCCACAAAGGGGCAGCGTGAGAGAGTGGAAGAATCCCAACCGACAAACAGAAGCCCTGGGCTGGAATGTGGTCTCAGCTATTACTGCTAATCCTGCCCAAGTCCCTAGCCTTCTGGAGACTTCTCTGCCCTAAGCTCCTTATCCATCCAAGGACTTCAACACTGCCCGAGTACAAGCGTCCGACGGTAGGAAACGGAACTGCTCTGAACAGCTGGTCCGTGAGACCCCAAATTCGTGGCAGGATAGGCAAGGCGATTGGTTCCCAGGCGACCGGAGCTGGGGGCGGGACTGGAGTGAGGGGCGGGACCACAGGGGCGCGGCCCGCGGAGGTCGTGAGTCCCCGGGGGCCGGCTCTCTCTGCGGGGGGAAGCGGTTACCTTGCCCGCTTGGGTGGCGGCTGCCAGGCACGGGTGAATCCCGTCGTAGCGCCCTACGGCCACCATGCGGGGGCTGATTTTGTGGCGCAGTTTCAGGGTGAACACGGGCAGCATCATGATGGCGACGGCTCAGAGAGAAAGGCTGGCGCGGGAAGCCGGCGCAACGAAACCGGGATGCTCTGCTACAAGGCCTGCCACGCTGCTACTGGCGCGAAACAGCGCGCGACCAAGCGCGTCCCCCACCGCCCCCTAGCCGGGCACCACCACGTCTTTCTGCGGCTGCGCGGACCCATCGACCTTTTGCGGCTGCGCAGGCCCCGCCCAGCCCCTGCTGCTTCTGCAGCTGCGCGGGCCCGCCCAGTTTTGCGGCTGCGCAGTGGCACCATGGCTCGTGCGTGAGGCTGAACGTGGTTCTTTTCTGAGATGGAGTAGACTGTGACTGATGCACGCGGGTTCTACTTCACCAAGGTGTTCACGGTGGCCGTGTCTGAGCTAGTGCTTATCTAAGCTTCCCCTTTTAGCACGCCAACCAGGCTGCACCCCTGCAGACTCCACACACTGCTACCCCACTGTGAAGGGTCATTTATTCAAGAACTATTTGAGTGCCTGTTTCCGTCCCCTGCGTTAGCCTTTATGCCGAGACAAACTACAGCAGTAACCTGCATGAAGTATACCAATCCGTTCTAAAGAAAACGAGAAAAGAAAAAGCACTAAACACAAGTTGAAATAGTCTGGACGGTGAACATAACCTTAATTGGAAAAACAGTCCTTGGCAGATGATTAACGAGCTTAAAGTTCTAATGATGTGTCGTGAGAAGACAGAAGGTCTGAAGGCGTCTGAATTAAGAGAGACAAGGAAGAATTCCCTAGGATGCTCAGAGGAAGCATAGCCCTAGTAATATCTTGATTTCAGACCTCGTGAAAGAATCGTTTTCTGTTGTTTTAAGCCAGGAATGAATAGCTGGGTTGAGGGGACTTGTAAGACTACCTAAATACTTTTAAAAGCAAACATGCAAAATTGAAAAGTCATGACCACCAAATATTCTTTGAAGGTATGGTCTGTGTCAGGCACTCTTCCAGCCAGTAAATAACAGAAAATAAAAGATAAAATCTCTGCCCTTCCGGAACGGATATGGTTAGGGGAGAGAAAAACGCTAAACTAGCAATACATAGTCATTTGGTGGTAAGCACTAAAAAGATACTAGGAAGAAGAGATGGAGGGCTGGAAGGAATGCAATTTTAAATAAGTTAAGGAAGAGACCTTACTGAAAAAGTGACAATCACACAAGGACATGAAAGAAATAAGGGAGCCAGCCTTGAGGGAGAAGGTTCCAGCAGAAGAAATTCAGGTGCAGAGGCCCTGAGGGCTCACTCTTGCTACCTTCTGACAATAGAAATTTAGGGATGAGTGAAGAGAGAAGCAGCAACCACCACAGGACCTGGGGAGGGGCAGCCAGTGAGGAAATAGAACCAGGAGAGTACAGTCCTGGAAGCCACAGGAAGACAGATGTGCCAGAAGGATGAAAATAGCCAGCAGGTGCAGCAGGTAAGTCTTGAAAGATGAATTCTAAAGTATTGATTTTGTGTTTTATAATTATAGTTTTAGAAACGACCCTCTTTTTTCAAGCCTGTTGATGTGTTGTGACTAGTTGACTTTTTTTTGGAGACGTCAAAGGATAAAATTTGAAGGTCCTGATGGAATGCAAGACAGTGTGACTGGAGCTCAGTGTGTGAGACTGAGAGAGGTCCTTAGGAGCCAGGCCACCTAACACTTGAGAGCCACACCAAGGAGAGTAGATTTTTCTCTTTAGTAGGCTAACAAGTTTGCAACTTTCCATGTAAGGCTGATCGTGGCCTCCGTCCACCTGGCCAAGCCTCACTTACTCTGTGTACTGCTTTTGTGGCCATGACTTTGTGGTTGCTCCTCCTAACAGGACATTATAATTATCAGCATCTGCATTAGTAACCTTTTGCAAGTGGCAGTGGTCTCATGCATCATCAGTAACATTTATTAAGCATTTTCTAGGAGCCTTTCTAAGTACTTTATATGGATCATTTGTAATGCTGGCCTTGAATTTGAGATCCTCCTGCCTCAGCCTCCTGAGTGCTGGGATTACAGATGTGCACCACCACACTAGCTCATTGTTATTCCGTTTTACAGATGATGAAACTTTACCATCATCACCTCCTTTCTTTATAAGTCTTCGTTCATTGGCTCCAGAGACCAAGTTGTTCTTTAATGGATTGCATGAAGATCTCCAAAATCTATCCACCATTAATCTCTACAGCTTTATCTTTTCCTTCTTCAAACCTGATCCCTTCTCATATGCTATTTCTAGCCTCACACCGAGCCCTCTGCCTAGGATGTCCTTTCCTCCGCTTCATAACTCCCTTGTATCTTCAAAGACTGGTTCAGGTAAGACATCATCACTCCAGGGAGTCATGTCTGCCAGCCTGTGTCACTGCCGTTCCCACACTTAGAGGTAGCCTGACTTCCTCTGTGTCTTCACTCGACCTCCAGCAGTCATCATTTGCCACATTGAGGTGATTTGAGTTTGGGGGACACAAATCTGATCAGGATCCACAAGACCCCTGGAAGGATAGGGAGATCCCCATCCTCTCTGCCAAGAATGGGATGGATCTGGGCAGGGGATTTAGAAGCTTTCCTCAGGGGAGAAAGGTCCAGAGCCAGCCTTTTCTTGCCAGCAGTCCTAGAGTCCTCTCTGCTTCCTGTGACCCACCAGAAATCAGTGGCTCTTCAGTGGAGACTTTTCCTCCTTGCATCATTCAGAGCTGGAGCTCCTGAGGACTGAGGACTTGCAGGGGTGAGGAGGTAGGAGCTGGTGACTGTAAGGAGGCAGCACTATTTAGTGGGTTAGCCTGTGAGCCTTGAAAGCTTGCAGACCTGCTTCACATTCCTCCTCCAGCTGTAACTAGCTGAGACTTGGGCCCATTATTTAATCTGAACACTCACCATGACTGGGCACCTTCTCTTTGCTATCCACTTGCTACACAGACACTCTGAGACAGAGACACTCATCACCCCTCTGAAACTCAGTTTTGGAGGTTCTATCACATAAAGCCAGTTATTCAGCTGATAAGTGGCAAAGCAAGGATCACAGGGCCCCAGAGTCAGAGCACCTATCAGCTGTACATAGGGCCTCCTTGCAGTGAACTTCTGAGACACTAGTGTCCTCAGCCAGAAAAGCAAATATAAGTAGTACCTACTCTGAGACACAGATAAACGACACATGCTTAAGGCAATGCCTGATGCTTAAGAAGAGCTCCCAGAAATGGTTGTTTTTACCTTTAGGTGAAAGGGCCATCTTTGACTGGTTAGGGTCATTGTGGTTAACAAATTTGATGTCTTTCTTTCTTTCTTTTTTTCTTTTATAAGTAGGTTTCCCTTCACCCTGGGACTGGAAAACTAACCTAGCTAGTCAAGTTCCAGTAGGCTAGGTCAGGACCAAAATTTTAGATTTTGAGGTGAATGGCAGGGGGCCCTAAGGCCATGCCTACTGCCTGCCACTCCCTTCTTGTCTTCACCTTGAGCTTGACAAGCAGCCCCACTAGAGGGTGTGTGAATGTAAAAAAATAGAGGTCTGGGCACCTCAGGACTCAAGGCTGGGTGGGAGGCCTGCATGACCATGACCAGAGGCCCCCAGTAGTGGCAAAGCCCCTTCTAAGGAGGGGATTGGGGCTGGAGAAGGAGCATTAAGTCACAGGCTGGGTTCTGTGAGAAGCCAGCTGGAGAAGGATTTGTGCTTCTTTCTTTTTGCCCTGTAGTGTTTGCTGTTTTTACAGCAAGCTTGTCTTACTTTTGTAATAACAAATAAAAACTTTAAAAAAACATAGTGTTGCTGGCAGAGTGACTCAAGTGATAGAGTACCTGCTTATTAAGCATGAAGCCCCGATTTCAAACCCCAGTACCACCAGTGGTACTGTCTGTGGATGATTTGGAGGATCTAGATCCACAGCCTCTTTCTACCCCCAGTGCCCCAGAGCCTTCCTATAACAGACCACAGTCTTGGGTTTCCCTAATCTTTATTTATTTTTTTTTTTTGAAACAGGTTCTCTGTATGTATCCCAGGCTGCCCTTGAACTCTGCATGCTCCTGTCCTGGCCTACCAAGTGCTGGGATTACAAGTGTGTACTACCATGCCCCGTTGGTTTCCCCAAATTCTTTAAGGAGAGGGACTACCAGGACCCCTCCCTAATAGCTCCTCCCCAATCCACAGAAGGACAGGGGCCAGGAGGTCACTGCAATGGAGTAGGTCACCCAGGGCCAACCTCTATAAGGATATTTTGTCCCAGCTTCCCTTCAGAGCAGCCCTCCAGGCCATCCTAGCCTTCAGTTTACCATTTCTCGTCTCCCTTTCTAGAACACCTGTAGCTCTGTGATGTGTCTGCTGCGGGCCACAGGGTGAGAGTGACTATCATTTCACACGTCAGAAATGAGGGCATGAGCATCACATACATGTTCAGAGCACCAGCTTGTCACATAAAAACCTGATAAATTCTTTGTTTGTACTATTATCTCAGTCTTCAACACTATGAGCTAGGCAATATTATCTCTATTTTACAGATGTAGAAACTAATTTCAACCCCAAATTCTTCTTACTCCCCTATCATATACACACATCCCATGGAACTGGTAGGAAATAACACTGAAGTCAGTATTAAGTGCTCCCACCTGCCACCTGAGCGACCCGTTAAGACCTAGTGGTGCCAGAGAAGAGGGTGTCAGACCTTCAGTCTCTCGTGGTTGTTGCTGATAACCTTATCCAACAGATTCTCCCACACTCCTATGGACTCAAAACGCCTCCCTTTTATTGTTGGGCTGGACTACATGACTTGATTCCAAAGAGTAGAATATGGAGAGGGGAAAGTATTTTGTAGGAGAGAAGCTTCACAGGCACCATTTGAACTCAGTGAACCAGAGTAACATCCCTCATGATAAATTATGTGGACATGATCCGATACGATGAGAAGGGCTAGTCGTCTCTATGGTGCTCTTCCCCAAACCCATAAACCCTATCTAATCATAAGAAAACATCAGATAAACCCAGAATAAGTGCCTCTGGGAACTCTCACCTGAGGCTGAGAATCAGGAAGATCACTGTAGAAGGAATCAAGGAGAATGTTTACTAGGTTTTGGTTTTTTGCAGTGCTGGGGATCAAACCTAAGGCCTCCAGCATGCTAGGCAAGCTCTCTACCGCTGAACTACGCCCCCAGACAGAGGTAACTTTTGGGGTGATAAAAT